CAATATCTAAGAAACAAGTAAAGCTAGATTTTTTTTTAAACAATATTTGAAAGTAAAGGGCAAAAGTTGTTAAGCAGCCATCTTTGAACAAGATATTGCGTGAAGAAAAGCCACATTTGACATCTTCTATATGTAGAGTTGAGCGAGGATTAAAGGTTTGCGGGTAAGGAAGTTCACCACCAATATCTAAAGTACAAGTAGAGCTGGACTTTTTTAACAACAATATTTGAAAGTATAGAGAAAAAGATGTATAACCAGCTATCACTTTGATACTTACGACGTTGCTTAAATAAACAACAATACCAGTAAAATAAACACCAATGTTTGAAAATCTATAACAAAAGTATTTTGTTTGCTTTCGTATCTAGTTTCTTTCGTTGTGAGCACTGTTGTTTAATTCACGAGACCTGTATAACTTTTCAGTATACATTATTTAAGTGTTTTATAAGATGTATTGATATTTTTGAATTTGATTCAATATTTTTTATATATAATCTTTATAAAAGCTTACATGTGGGTGTGGTAACAGAGAGCAGAACCTTTACTCTGAAAAATAGTAAATAAAAAAACATTTTTACAATAATGAATTGGCTGGGAGTTTTACTAAACATGGTCAGATTGTTGTTTGTTTGGTAGGTATTTATGTGTTTTGTGATATAATTAGTTTGGTTTTCAAAATATAATTGTTCAAACTCACATTGGACCTTTGTGCCCCGCTCTACCCTATTTTATTTCCTATATTCACACCTCTATATTGCAGCAGAAAATTTCAGATTGGATAGAGAGCCAGGTTATATGAACTAATATTAAACAAATTGAAAAATATGCAAAATATTAAGTAATTTTTATTAAAACGTAAAATACTTCATTCGTGATTAACGAAGAAAATCTAATAAATCATTTATGATTATAAATAATTAAAAAACTATATTATATATGTAGAACTTTTTTTGTAAAATATTAGGAGTAATTAAAATGGTTCTAGTAACTTATTCAGAAAGAATTTAAATTTGTCCCAAAATTTTGTTCTAAAAATTAGAAAAATTGTTCCTAAAATTATATAGAACTATTTCCATTTCCAAATGATAATGGAAAATGAGATCATCTCATAATTTTAAATTTCAAAGCAAATTTTGTTTTAAAAATACGTTTATTGAATATTGACATCCGTATTCGGCATAGAAATTTTTTCCTTCGATTTGCAAGAATTCTTACCGGTCTATTAAGGAGCTATTTCCAATTGTTATTAATACAATTGAATACCTGTCTTGTCACTTTAGAAATGATAATAAAAAATAAAATCATCTGAAAATTTTAAATTTTAAAGAAAACTTTATTTCAAAAATAACATCATTGAAAATTAACACTGGCATATTCAGTGTTAAAAAAATTCTCCTACGATTTGCAAGAATTCATACCGATCTATTACAAAGATCTGCCCACAACCGTAGATCTCACGATTAAATACCTGTCTTGTCGCTTTAGTTTGATCTTATTTCTCGATTTATATTGTATTAAAGTTCTCGTTGAATTTATAAACTCGATTATAAGTTTCTAACAAACGTCCTTGTGTGTAACCGTTTGATAATAGATTGTTCATTGTCTATGAAAATATTTTTCGCCGATAAAAATATACAGGTAATTGCGAGACAGTTTGATATGTGAACTGTAATTACTCTTAGCAAATTGTTTTGTAATAGAGAGCGAGAAAAAAGTATTAGGAAGTAAATGTGTGAACAACGGTGATTTGATTGTCAAGAACCTAATTATATATATATATATATATATATATATACATGTATATACTGGCCGACCCAGCAAACCTTGTTTCACCATAAAAAACAATTCTAGAAAATATTTAGTGTAGAAATAACTAACTGATTGTGAATGATTGGTTCACCCTCTGCAACACATGTTTCATATAAATGTTACTGTTTTCTCAAAAAAATGTTGGTCAATGATAACCCTTGATAAAAATAAATGTTCCCAAATTAGAAAAGACTCTTATTAAACTGGAACTCTTGATAAAAATAAATAATTTTTGAAATAAAAAGAGCAGCCTGTATTTTTCAATTCCGCAATACTTAAAAATAACAGTTAGGTGGACAACCCTTGATAAAAAACTTAAGTAATTTTACTTATTCATACCATAAACTGAAAAAAATTAAATTGAAATTAAGTGGGAAACATTCACTGACTTATGGGTGAACGACCCTTCATGAAAATAATTTTTGTTGTAGTTAAAATGAGGTTTTTCTACAAGCTGACAAAAATCTTAATTCTAATTTAGTGAAAAATATGCATTGATTGAAAGCAGGATGAAAAATGATTGAATTTCTAGACCGATTATAAAAAATAAAGAAGTTGATGATGAAAAAGTAAAAAATTAAGGTTGTATGTATCTTTAATGCCTCACTATAATACAACAATAAAAACAAGAAGTTTCATAAAAAAATTAAAAAAATTAAGAGTGAAATATTTTATTCGATTTTTTTTATTATAGAAAGTGAAATATCAAATATTTTACCATTTTACGACCTTGATTAAATGCGTGAATTTTAGATTCATAGTTTAATAAATAGTCTTAATTCTAGAAAACCCGGAAAAATGGTGTCATTATTTTTTATTGTGATTCTAAAAATGTTATTAACGTTTGCAGATCCAAAGTTTAAATGAACAAGATTAATAGAAATTAACCACAATAATTGAAAAATGGTCACAGTTCAAGTTATATAGGGTTGCTGAAAAGCTAAATTTTGAAACTACATGGAATCATTTTTTTCATCAACATTTTTTTTTCTATTTATTTTGCAAAATTAGCCAAGATCAATACTTGAATCCTATTTCGGCTTCACGTTGAGTTCTGAGACGGTATATAATAATAAAAAAATTGCAATGGAAAAATAAATCACATTTCATACTAAAGCATCAACCATAGTTACGCATTGGGCCTGTCCTTTTTTACTTGCTTACACTCTTTTTTATTTTTTTTTTAAAGAAATGCCTTATATCAAAGTCGTCTAATTTTGAAAATTTTTAATTTATAGTTTAGAAAATAATCTAAATTCCAGAAAAATTGTGACATTGTGTGTCAAGTGCTGACTTCTCGATAAGAGTACTTAAAGGTAAAGGAAAAGACTTCCTAAAGGAAGCTTAGTTAGGTAAAATTACAATATTACAAATATTCATATACATTATATGAATACAAACAACTATATTATCCAGAAAACGTAATAATTTGATTAAACATAAATATGTAGTTGTCTGTATTGGGTGTGTGTTACGTTTTTCAGTGTAATTTTTTAAGGTGTCTCAAATAAACAGGAAATAGTAAAAATTATAAAATTTTAGGTATTATGCAGAAGAATTACTGAATCAAAGATTTTGTCATTTTGTTTAATTTTTATTAATGTTTGGCCATTTGACCCCCAAATTTTGACTGGGAAACATACGCCGCCCACCCAACACAGACAAATTTTCTTTTATTTTGTGAACCTGTGTAATTTATATTTTAAACTTAAGCCACTGTTATAACATCTTCACCGCGTAATATTTTGAAATGTTGCACAATATCTATTATCTTTTCTCTCAAGGGTCTCTGAAGGTATTGACTTCCCCCTATGAGTCCTTAGCTATGTTTAAATAAAACAAATATTTATATATGCGTATAGAACGTTATAAGTTGACTGTTATACATATATTCCAATCCAAATTTCATAATAAAATAAATACAAATTTTAGACTTAAAACTCAACCGTAATAATATTACTACCACGTACATATGGGTAATTCTTTTACAAATCGTACGGATTTTCGTAAAAATAAAATGTCACATTTTAGAATTGCCTGATTTTTTTTTTCAGATATAAATAAAATCATTTGACACGTATTTCAGGATTTTGCTGAAAAAATACGTAAATATTACGATTGAAATATAGATTTTTTGCTCAATTTCTGTGAACATCGTCTGCGGTAAATTAATTATCTCGATTTGCGCTGTTATATATGTCTTTATTAAAATCGATTCAATTTGGGTCAAGGGTATGTAAATATTTAAGGGTTGTTATTGTTAAGAAAATTTCAAAAATATTTTTTTTAATTCATTTCTAAGTTCACTTCAATATGAGTGTAATAAAAAAATAATAATATTGGTCCGATCAGCACAACTTGAGATAATTAATTTACCGCAGAAAAATTGAGCAAAAAATCAATATTTCAATCGTAAATATTTACGCAAAAAAAATTTTTCAGCAAAATCCTGAATAACGTATCAAATGATTTTATGTATAATATCTGTAAAAATAATTTCAGGCAATTCTAAAATGTGAGATCTAGATGGTGTACGGTTTGTAAAAGAATGACCCATAAATATGACCATCACCTCCCTTGAGGACCAGGTATGGACTTTCCGCTGAAAGTCCTTAAGAAGGTTGAAATAATACAAATATTTATATATGCGTACAAAACGTAATAAGTTGACTGTTATACATATATGTTAATTCAATTTTTTTTATAATAAAAAAATCTAATTTTAGACTTAAGCCTCAACCGTAATAATATCATTACCACTTAATGTTACACATTATCTATGACCATTCCCTCAAGGGTCTCCGAAGGTACCGACTTCCCGCTAAGAGTCCTTAGTTAGGTTTAAATAATACAAATATTTATATATACGATAAAAGGTAGTAAGTTGACTGTCAATATTTTTTATAATGAAAAAAATCAAGTTTTAGACTTAAGCCTTAACCGTAATAACCATATCATTACCACGCACTATTTAGAAATGTTCCACATTATCTATGACCTTTCCCCAAGGGTCTCCGAAGGTACCGACTTCCCGCAAAGAGTGCTTGGTTAGGCAGGTCCTCGAAGTGGACACTTTCACGTTCTTTCCATACGAAAAGACAACAAACGACCATCGCCAGGGATGGTGGGAGGGCTAACGGCGTTAACTATATAACGGACGGCGGTTACTGAGAAGGTATCCAGTGATCAGAGAAACACAATCAGTGTACACCAAAAGACGAGACCAAGAGTCGGTTTAAAAAAATATTATAAACATGCAGACTGTCACAGTAAGTGCTTTTTTTACATTCATTAATAGAATTAAAAAAAATTAAAAAAAAAAAATTGCGATTTTTATCGAGTGGATAGTGATATTTTAAGCAATCGGGCGTGATTTGGAACTGTGAAAAGGATATTAATTTATAGTGATTCGGAAGTGATTAGTAGAATTATAGGGAAATTTATTCAAAATTAATTATGGATAAATAGTATTCGAAAAGTAGTAGTATAAATCATATCACATTCAAAATTTAAAATAAGCGCTATTTATTAAGTATTTTAAGTTTCACAAACGTTTCGATACTCAGTTCGTTTCATAATCAGTGCAAAAAATAGACCAGATTGCACATGTACATGTGTGTTGGTGGCACAATGACTGCATTTTATCAAATTCAATCATCTTTTAATTTTTTGTTTTAATTTTAATTTATTACACTGATTATAGGACAAACTGAGTCAAGTAACATTTATAAAATTTAAAATACTTAATAAATAGTGCAAAATAAGAGTGTTGTTTGTTAATTTAATTAATAGCCCATCCACTCATAACACTTTTAATATGTATATATATATATATATATATATATATATATATATATATATATATATATATATATTGAAAAATCTCTCAGAGGGGGTCCTAGGGGATATTTGGAAGCAATTGTGGCACTCTAAATGGGTCGAAATGGAATTTTTCAAATTTTAACCCTTACACGAGACATCAGATTTTATTTTAGAGGTGTGGTTTCTTCAGCAAAGTATCTTATTTTGATCTTTAGTATCCGAAAATTTTTTTGAAGCGACTTTTTTTGACCCATGCAAATCGACCCGCTCTAATACATATATATATATATATATATATATATATATATATTTTTATCCTATAAAATTAAAAATTTAATTGCTAAGTCATAGATATATCTGACCCTTATCTCGTCTCTGACACCTCATCAAGATTTTTAATAAACTATCTTGAAACAAAGAAAAAAAATTATATAGATTCCTTATTCAAAATTTAAGGAATCTTGGAATTTAATAATATTTACTTAATAGTATTCGATTTGCAAACAATTTGTTTTACTGTAACATATCATTTATTACTATATGTAGATCTCTTGTTACCAATCTTTTTTTTTAAATTTTGCATCTATAAATTTCTTTATTAATACCAAATTATTTTTAATAATTGAAAATTAATTATAGGTAATATATCAATTGAAAAATAGTTAAATATTTTATCATTAGCGGATTTTAAATTATTTGAATTTGAGGAATTTTATATATAAAATAGGTAGAAGTATGTATACGAGTATATAAAAGTTTAGCCATAAATCGATTTTCTTTAATTTTTTCATTTTAATTTTTTTTATTTGGATAAAAATATTTTCCAATATTAACCGAGAAAGTATTCAGTAGTTTTTTTATAGTATTTTCAAATAAAAAAAAAGTTCTTTGGAGGACCATTTATTATTTTGTAGACTTCTATTTCTAATTTTATTGACGGTTTACTCATTTTCAAAGCATTTTAATCTGTACAAAAGTTATTAATATATTTCAATGATCTATAAAAATGATATGTTATAATAAAACAAATTACTTGAAATAAATCGCGCCTCTTGAGTAAATAGATCAAATATTATTATGTAAATACTATTAAATCCGAAGATGCCTAAAATTTTAATTAAATCATATAAGTTAATAAACAGAGAAATCATATAAGTTTTTTTCTCTATACTTTGAGTTAGTTTATTGAAAATCTTGATAAGTTTTAGGGTCAAAATGTTTTAGTGTAAGACCTTTTTAAAACTTTTTTGTACTAACTTTAGAGGAAATATTCATCCATAAGCAATTTTATTTTTGATAATTTAAAATCTTTAATTAAAGTATTTGAAGAATTTAAGACTAAAAAGCCGTGGGATATTCTTGAATTTGATCTACCTAAATTCGATTATTTTACTTAATAATTAAATAAAAATTAATATCACTTAACTAAATTTAAATAAACCAACAGAATATATAAAAAAATTAAAAAAGTATAAAATTGTTATTGCATTCATGATTTTATAATGAATACATCAAAACTTTTGCTAAAACTACGATTGAACATTTAAAAATGTCTTAAAGAATATTCACACATAATACACATTTAATTATATTATTTGATAATAAGTCGCAATAGAGTTTCATAGTTATAGCGCGCTTAGAATCCTTAACAAATAAAAAATGTTCTGCAAAAAACCACTTATTTTTAGTCTGAATATTAATTTAAAAATTAACGTAAAATCTGTATGTAATATCTATCGAGTTTTGAAAAATTTAATTATTTTTACAGTGCTAAGAATCCGCCTCCTATAATTATAAGGTCCATACTGAATTTTAAATTTGATCACTAGAATTTTTTCAAATTCATTTTTTCTGCTATCGGTTAATAAAAATAATGAGCAGAGATTGTAAACAATATATGACAAAAATCTTAACATTATGATTTGATATTAGTAGATACGCCCAACTGTGATTTTTTTAATTCAATTTGTAAACAATTAGTGTAACAACCATACATATAGATTGAAAACTGAACAGGAACAGAATTTAAAACAAATAACTAGCACGTAATTATTTAAATCCTTTACCTATACATAATTATACATTCAATAGATGCAACCGAACTAGAAAATTACGAGCAAAACATGCAAAGTCTAATCGACGATTCAAATCACGCAAACGTAAAGAACACGTTTCTAAAATAAACACTTTCCTTGTTGATTTTGATGCTAAAATCCTTTTATTTTCTTGACGAACGATTTATAAAAATCATTGTTTGAATACTAAGAGATAACTTTCAATTTCGTTTGAAATTACAGTTAATTTCCATACAAAAATCGTATCGTATCATTATTACATCCATAATAATATAATTGGCTAGTGAAAAAGCTGAACTCATGGGGATTTTTGAATCTGAGGCGTAGAATTTTAAATGGCACAAGTTTTGTTAATAAATCTGTCTTACACAAAACTTGTGTCATTTAAAATTAGAATTAAATTTAATTTAATAATAAAAATTCGAATTTTAGTAAGAGTTCTAGGCCAAAAAATCGTCTCATAAGATCTAATTTTATTTAAATTTATCTAAGTACTAACAAATTTAATAATGATATAATAATACAATCAAATATCATATAATATCCACACAGTATCAATAAACTATATATGATTTACATTTTTTATAAAAAAACTGGATTACTTGCATGATTACAGAACTAAATTACAGTACGACATTATAATTAACAAATCCGCAAAGGAAAATTCGTTATATGCAATCTTATATAACCGATGCAAAAATATTACGAAGTACCATTTAGAGACATGCAACGAAAATAGTGCAAAAGTTGTCGACAGAAATAAAACGATATATGAATAACTTATGTATATTATGCAACGAAAAATATTGATACAATTTACGATGATAGAAAATGAATAAACATCGAAGTTTAATCTTGTTTTGCCAATTATCTTTATCTATCTGCTATATTTTGTGTTTAACCTATAAAGCTCGATTGACTGAATTTATCTCTGTATTCATGCTTCTGATCTTTTAAGATGTTTTCATAAAATATGAGAACATCTATAACTAAATGTTGATAAAACTCTATTTCATTCATTTCCTGTTCTAAAAATGCATTTTATTTAAGCGCGAACGTCAACTGTAATCAGTAGCTACATACAAAACACCAAAGAACGTACATATAGTTCAGATGCAGATTCTGATTAGAATCGCTTAACCGCGCGACGATGGTTAAATCTTTAGTGAATTTTTGTAATTCAACCCCTTATGGTAGGCCTATAATATTTTAGTATATGATATCTGGCTACAAAATCTATCTATACACAAAGTATCATCAAATTCGTAAAACAAACAAATTATCATTTAATCACGTAGGAACAGCCTGGACGACTTTTACCAAAAACTAAAAAATGCGATTCCACTCATTGTAACGTTAATTTTCATACTAAAGTGGTCATATCATCTAGAGCTAATTTTACTGAAAAGAAGACGTTTTCAAATTTTGGATAAATTTCTTTACAAAATATCAAAAACTTTACAACAATGCTCTTCATATTTTTGCAATTAAACAGTGCAAATTTGATCGGATTAAATAAACTATTCACAAATTTTCGAATTTTCATTTTAATTTAGAGAACCGTCGGAGTTCTACTTTCTACATACGTCGCAAATTTTATTCTATTTGTGCTTTATGTATATCGCACGCGTTTCTTGTTATGTAAAATTCCGGTAGCAATGCTGACTTTATATTACGACATAAATTATACCGGTCGCAAAATACGAGTTTATAGTTGAAAAATAAAACGAAAAGATATTTACTAGTTGACTGACATAAGTAGTACAAAATTGTGAGTAAAATAAATTAAATGTAAAATGAAATATGAAAATAAAAGGGTTATGAATCCAACAAGGAGTAGCTGCGTCTTGCTCGACTGGGATTTTGATGAAATTTGGCATAAGTGTAGATTTTATAGTTAAAATGACCCTGGTAAAATATTAGAGGCCTAGGACAAGCGGTTTATATTTAAAAATTACTTGAAGTTTGCACATTAGCAGTATTCATAGCCTTGCAACGCTGCCTCGTAAGCGTAGCAGTGGGCGTAGTGGCTATCTTTACAACATTCTGATTTTTGCGTTTGTTATTATTTTTTTACGCAAAACTCAAACGTAATTTTTATAAATACTTCTCTATATGATTTGAACACTTCTACACTAATAAGAATATTTAAACAAAACTAATAAGGCCAGAATACCTACAAACTTAATTTAAGCCCTTCAACTTGTCTTTCTACATCTTCTACTAACACAGATTATGACATATTTAATAGATCACGTAGACGTATAGAAACTTTTATTTCTGATTGTCTATTATATTAATATTTTATATTATATATTAATAAATTTGTTATTATTTTCCCAGGCTTTAGTAGTTTTGGGTTTGGTGGCTTGCGCCCACGCCGGTTACGTAGCACTCGGACATGGTGGTTACGCCGGAGGTGACCTCGGCGGTCATGGAGGTGACTTGGGAGGTTATGGAGGCGGTTTTGCTGCTGCTGGCGGACACGGCGGACATGACGAACATGTGGACTACTACGTAAGTAGAAAATGAGATATTGAAGTAATAATTTGGACCAGGAAAAAAGCTGGAAGGTTTGGGAATTCTGATCCTTGACAATGCATTTTTTTGCAATTTTCGCAGCAAGCAAGAATATGCCAATAACACAATAACGAATTTGTCTAAGTATTTTACTAGCCAACGCAATGTGTCTCCAGAATTACTCGGACAAATGTATATAAACAACCAACACCTACAAATGCAATCCATCTATCCATCGACCTATCAATTTCGATATTATACCATAATCGCGTCGACAATTTAAACGTGTCAAATTATCAAATTATCGAATAAAATTGCATATCATTTCGCAAATGGCGATGTCCACAGTTGGCATTTTTTCGCCCATTACACGGTCTTGTATTTCTTTATAATAATAACCTTTAATTACATTAATTGCGTTAAGAGTTACAAAAGTATTTCTTCAATCTTACAGTTCAGATGGTTTCCCTAATTATCTTAGAGAAAGAGCGACTCCATCGTCCACTCGGAGTCACAATAGAACAACGAATAACACGTTGAGTAATGATTAATTATGCAATTAGTTTATATTGTGTCGCATCTTACTTTGGTTTCTCATAGATCTCAGAGTAGAGTCATCGTGGTTAAAAACAAGGTTAAGCAGATTCATATTGGGCAATTTTTTTATTCAAATTTATACCAACAATCAGAGTAATTGACAGAACTCTGTAAGTTGTAAACATAAATTAAAATGACACAAAGGAAACAAGAAATGGTAGGAATTGCCCCAATGGGCACTTGACAAAGAAAGGGATTTTTTATATAAAATCTATAGGCAGTTCCTTGTTGCGTCTTTTTTTTGGTGACAGTGAAAATTCGAGTTTTTTAAAACTGGTCTTCCTTATGACATCCACTACAAAATGAATGTTGAGGTCAATTCTATAATTTTCATCAGTAATTGCCCTTAAAGTTGTTGGTTTTGGTGGCATCGGACTAATTGGTAAAAAATATTTTATACAACTTTGAGTGGTCACGAGATGGTATCAGACATAGTGAAAATTTCAACAAAAATTGATCACTAGACATGCAATAATCTAATTATTTATTATAAAACAATCCTCACAGACCATAAATTCTCTTTCTCCAACCCATAATTCCATTTCTGCACAAAATAAAAGACTTCGCCACCGACTAAGTAATAACCTGTTACTCGTATCTCCCAGCTTATTATGAAACATCTTACATATGTTGCTTAATAAATACAAAGCTTATTCATTCATATGTCTGAACAAAACATTCCTAGTCCACAATATGACAGGATCTATTATTATTTTTATTATGAATATTATAACAAAGCACAGGAATAATTACGAATCTTTTATAATAAAAGCCAGTTTTGATTAATACGTGTTTCGTTAACCGCGATGCGGAACAGATATCGCGGTCGGATTGCTTAATTTAATTTTTGTTCGGTACGATAAAGAAATTTGATGTTTATTGTATATAGACACAGTCGATGATTTTTCGTTTGTTTCGTAAATAATTTGAATTGGAGGAGATTGTTATTTATTGCTTATTTCGTTAATTTAAATCTGTTGTAATAGATACACATGGCAAGGCAAACGCGCCATGCCAAACCATATCCTGCTCGAAAGTTTAAACTTTGCTCATTTTTCTAAATAATATGAGATTTTTTTAAATTGTCAAACTTCTTTTTTCACATGTTCGTTATAAAACATTATATATAAATTAATTGTAATAATATACCTTTATTTATAAAATAGTGTAATACCTGCAAGTAAAATACTCAAAGTAACATCCTTTAAGTGTAAAGTACACTATATAGTAAAGTAAATATTTTTAAATTGATTTTTTGTTTGTTTCGTGAATAATTTGAATTGATTGAAATTGTTATTTATTGCCTATTTTGTTAATTTAAATTTACAATGTTTGTTGTGATCGATACACATGTTATCACAAACCTTGCCAAACCATACCTGCTCGAAAATTTGAACTTTACTCATTTGCTAAATATTGTTGTGATTTTTTTTTTCAAAATTGAATAACGGTTGTTTTAATAGATATACGTTGTGATATATAGTTATCACTTTTTTTAAAAAAAAGTTGCTTAATTTATTGTAATTGAAAGTGAAATAACTTTGCACATGGATGAAAAATAAATCGGAAAATGCAAAAAAACACAAAAATTAATATTAAATCTCCAATCAATTAACTGACAGTAAAAATTTCATTACTCTAAATATCATAATTACAAATTAATTAATATTAATCATTTACAGTCTAATAATCGTAATAAATCCATAGGAAATGCATACTACCAGGATATCATAAATCAGATTTCTTCATAACCCAACAATAACAACCTCATTAATATTTCATTTGTCAACTTTGTTTGTGGTAAATTAATTTGCATTATAATTTACTCCGGTGCGAATGAAAATGAAAGTGAAATTTCTGCTCGAGAAGAAAATTTTTACATAACATGTGCTCATTTGCAATCTGATGGAGAATAAAAGCACTGATGGCGCTTGTTATGTAAAAAAATAATTAAAAGAATTAGATTAACAATTAGAAGAAACATATAAAGGAAATTTTTTTTGCAGATGATAGATTTTTAGATTTACAAAGTCGGAATGTAACATTGTAACACGCGTGTGATATCAATAGTGACAACAAATTGTTGCACTCATGACAACATAGTTTTTGGGCATTTGCGTCATTTGGAGGTTACGTTTTAGAAGTTGATACAGTGTAAACATAGCTCTTTGACAGTTTGTAACCACCAACACATACAATTGTTCAACAAGAGAGATAACTATTTTATCCTGGAAATTGGCAACATTTCTACATCAGTAAAGTAACATCTAACCTATAACATAGGCAACTATCAATGCAAACTACAAAATAAGACAATTGCAAAAAAATCCTAATTATTTAATTCGATGTTCCTTTGACCTTAAAAAATAAATGTTTTACTCTGATTTTTTTCCCTTCCAGGCTTATCCCAAATACAACTTCGACTACGCCGTAGCCGATCCCCACACTGGTGACCACAAGACCGCCTGGGAACACCGTGATGGTGACCAAGTCAAGGGAGCCTACTCCTTCCTGGAAGCTGATGGCACAACCCGTCTGGTCGAATACACGTCCGACAAACACAATGGTTTCAACGCCGTCGTCAAGAACTTGGGACACCCAAAATCTCACGGACACTACTGAATTAACAATTGAATCTGCCCTCCGAAATAAACGTCAAAAACCCAATAGATTAACAGAAAATTAACGCAAAAACACTGACCGTCTCGTGATAACGTCTAGTTGTCATCTAAAAAAGTTTAGATGGACTTCCCTTGCCATCAGATTTGTTTTATTGCAAACTCTGGATTCAGTTGATAAGTGGTTTGTGAGAGATGTTTTTGTTTAGATTTGTATATATTTATCAAAATTTCGGTATTGTTTTTTTTAATGTGCTGGTTCCAGAAGTTGCAATAAGACAAACGTCCATGATTTCATATGTTGGATTTTAGGTTAACTTCAAGTACAGGCTGTAACGATCATAACGCCTTGCGAATACCAAATGAACAATCTATTAATGACTGAATATATTTTTGATTTTTTTAATCATCGCCTCGTTGCCAAATATATATTGCCTACGGATCAGCCCATCTCATCTGCACCTTTATCATTGTGTAACATATTAGTTAAACTTTTAATAGCACATTATTTAAGCTTGGATCATTTCATTGCATCACGCCTAACAGAAAACATTTTGTTCGAAGTGATTTTGTCATTGTGATCTCACCCACATGTAAAAAAGTGCAGTTCATTCCGACAAATTCAATACTGATTTCATTTTCAGGTCAACATCTCGTTTCATATATAGAAATGTATAAAATTGTTCATAGTATTCAGTATTATATTTTTAATAAATATATACTTATTTTTAATAATAAATAAGTGGTGTTTTATTTATGATAATGGTTGGAAAGGTCATAATCCAAAAAGTTGAGTATACAGTTTGCATATAAAAAAGGGGCAAATGAAAGCAGAAAAAAAAACTAAATTTACTAACGATATCGGTACAATTGAACTTATAAAGAAACTTTGCAGAAGAAACCTTATTTTGAATAATAATATAGTTATTTTTAAATGTTAATTGAATATCTATTTAGGTATTGTACCAAAAATTGCCACCACACGATGAGAAAAAGTTGAGTATACAGTTTCTATATGAATAACTTCTTGAAAAAAAATGGTGAAAAAGAATTTTCAATACTAAAAGACGATACCAGAGCAAGATTGAAACAGAAATTCATGTTACTGTGGAATATCAATTAAAAATCAACAGTCAATTTTCAAAAATTTTAACAATAGTCAGAAGATTTTGTATTTGTAAATTACTATGTAATAAAAAAGAGACAGATGAAAGCACAAAAAATTACTGAATTTACTTACGATATAGGTACAATTGAACTTATCAAGAAACTTTGCAGAAGAAACCATATTTCGAATAATAATAATAAATGTCAATTGATTATCAATTTAAATATTGTATCAAAAAAGTGAAATGATGTTTTATCCCGAAAGAAACTTCATTTCGTGCTATTATTTTCACAAATTATTGCCACCACGCATTTTGCCTATTTTCAAAAAATAATCAAGAATTAATTAGTATTTATTATTTAATTTGTTACTATTCTAGTCGAGGACATATGGAAAACTTGCTAGGTAATTCACAGAGCATTTTAGGAAAATATTCAAGAAAAATGGTATCAAATTCATTGAATATTCCAAACTATTTGAGAACCTTCGAAAGATATCTAGGAAACTCATATTTATCAATTTTTTTAATAATTTTATCAATGTTTTCCCCAGAAAAAATAATAAATATTGCAATTAATAATGATAATTTTCAGGCTTTAATATATGTAAGAGTAGTCAAGTAAGTACATTAATAATAATAGTAGATTCCGCAAAAGAACCGCTAATAATTTTGATGACCTTAAGATGATAACAAAACTTAAATTTAAGTCGGAGGATTCAGACTCATTGTTTATAAGATTACATACATTTTATGAAAAATAAAATACAGTCATAGACTGTCCAATCATGTAATTCAAATATCTACATAATATTTGAAATAATATTGGACCTTAAATAAAAAAAAAACATAATTCACTTACCTTCAAGCTTGGAAAACCGATGCCGACCACAAAATTGGCCATCCAGTTCACCAGCACAGCAATGGCCATAGCCGATGGCCTGGGTCCTTGCGAGAAGAGCTCGGCAGTTATCATCCAGGGAATCGAACCAGGACCAACGGCGAAGAAGACCACAAAACTGAGGGTCGAAACGACTGACAGGTACGACATCCAGTCGATCATCTCCTGCACATAGCCAAAAAACTCCTATGAGGCGGTAGAAATAGTTCTTTCCCGGACATTTTGGAGGAATGAGGCGATGGCAAAAATCAAATTATAAGGGTTTTTGAGTATGTTTCTGATATTGGCCTAACTCGGTTGGATATTATGTTTGGATAGATGACTCTTGAAGAAATATAGTAATAATTTAATCCACGTGGTAATATAATACTTTCGTGTTAAGTTTACTTACTTATAACAATAATATTGATATTACAAATTAATTATCTGCACTTGTTCATTAATTCGTTAAATTAATAGATACTCTTTTGATGATGCTATATATCATGGTAGATATCTTATTTTACTAATCTCTAAAATAATTTTAAATCATTCACATTTATTATATTAAATTAGTAAAGCAAGGAAAGTCTATAAACTAACAACATTATTGTCCTACTTATTATTTTTAAAAAAAGAGTTAAAGCAATGATGGTATAAAATTCACAAAATATTGAATTTGCATAAACTATATTAGTAGTTTATTACCAATTGAAACTAGAATTAGATTATTGAATCTAGAGTAATTTCAATTTGAACTAGTTTAAACCAAATTTAATGCTGTTTCTTGAAATAAATATAAGTTAAAAAGAAAATCAAAACATTATATAGATAGTCCTTAAAAGCAAATTGATTTCAGCAATTGAAAACAGATTTAATTTCTTTAAATCTTTGTAAAAATTGATTTCACAACTAACGTATTTCCGTATAATTTGTAGTCGAACTCATTTTTCAAAAAAAAATAGATGAGGAACTTCAAGCAAAATTTGAGGTATTGGATGCGTATAATTTTTATGCTATTTCTATACGAGATATTTTATTTCTCGTTCATAATATATAAAATAGAATACAGATAAATATGTTTTTAAAACATTTTATGGAAATTATAAAAATTTATCTACCAAAGTTTATACTTATAATGTTGTTATTTATACCATCACCGTATAACGTTTTTTGTTTTAATTTTTGAAGAAATAAAACGATGTAACCTGATATTGCATCAAATACCATGAATAAATTTGAAATAAAATTATCACAAAATTGCAATATTTTTTAAGTGGTGATGCTTTGTAATTTAATGACTACAAATAATCAAATTTATTAGTTGAATAATAATTTGCTAATTAATTGATCAAATTTATTAAACTTTTATAGTCATCTATGCAAACATGCCCTATAGTAGAAATGAGCATACATAATGAACGACTAGATGAAATTTTGATATTATTGATTTTTTTTACTCACTAACACAAATGTGACTCTAAATATTAACTAGTTATTAATAATTATTAGTAACATTATAATGCTTTAAGTCAGTAAAATATTTTGGAGATAAATTCAAAGAACTCATATCTCATGGATCATGAGATAATTAAAAATAAAAATTATAAACTTTAATATTTAGTATCCAATTTTTCTATAATAGGTTCTAAATGAAAAGTTATAATAAATTTGAATATTAATCCAAAATCGTAACATTTGCATTAATATTCAAAAGTTGACTTTGTTTAGGTATTTCTAAGTTCAGGCAACGGTTCACATATAAGAACCTTTTTAATTTGAAGTAAATATATAGTATATATAAAATAAGTAATACTGTAGTGTCTATTAGTTTGTTGTTGACTTTAAAAACCTAAAAATTCATTTCAAATCATAAATAATTAGTTTAACTATGGCGTAATACACAGCAGTGTAAATTTTTCAGCTGGTGCTACAAACAAAAAACTCAAATTTTTATTATTTACAAATTAGTGATTCAAAAAGTGATTGCGTGATGATTTTGAAAATGCTTTACACTTAAACTGCAAAATAAATTAAACGTGGCTTTATACAAAATTTACAAACTTTATTCATAAATAGTGTCTAGTGTGTTTTTTATCTCAAAGCATTATAAAGCCAATTTAACATTTTGAAAACAGTTTGTCGTGAGTGCGATTGTTAGAGCTTTTTTCTTATTATTTACACGTGAAGTCTGTTCAGAATGATGCTGTATTTCTAAGATCGAAAATCGATGTGATTTATAGTGGTGTATGATGTTGCAAATAGCGCCTCTCCTCCAAACGCGGGGAAAGTCGAAAAACATTTAGGGAAGGTGGTATAAGAAGCTTGTGTTGTTTTGGATGTAATTAGATGTATAAAATATTATATTTATAATAAATAAATGAAAAATAAATATAAACATGTATAATTAAACTAAACCAATTAAATAATAAAAAGGATAACCAAACCCAAGCCCATTAAACCAAATGAAATAAAGCTGATGACTAACAGATAATAAATGAATGATTACCTTTGTCACATGCAAAATTATTTTGATCTTTAAAATTAATAATTCAAAAATGCTAATAACTGATTGTTTTATAAAAGTCCAAAATAAAACTTAATACTTGGTCAAAAATGTACTTAACAATTTATCCCTGTTTTTGTAATATTTTTATGAAGAAACTTTTTTGAAGCAATGTCATTTCATACTTTTTAAATTTATAAAATTTTAATCTAATAAATATTCTTTTTTTGTTTTGTACACCATTTGTACTTTTTTATTACACTCCAAAAATAAAGAAAAGATATATTTAATATATCCTAAATATTATTAATTTAGAAACAAATTTATTCAAAAGACGTTTTGCGGAATGTTGTTTTATTAAACTAAGTATCAAATAAATAAACGCAACAATTGTGTTTTGCAATTCATTGTGCAAAAATAAAAAAATGAATTTATAGAATTTTTAATAAACACCTCGATACGATTTTTTTATTATGGTAATTATAGTAGTTATAGTAATCGCTAAAAAAATGAAAGTTTGTATATAAATTTCTTCTCATATGTTTTCTTATAAGCTCAAAAAGTTTTCTAATTATGAACAAAATTTAATATCAATATCGATAAAAAATAAAAATAAACTCTATTCATTTATTTTTCTGGATTATAAAAATCTTCAAAATTGTAAAAGTTAGTTATATAATATACAAATCTGTTAAAAGCTGTTTCTATAATATGCGAAAATTATATAAAACATTTAATTTATTAATATATGAAAAACAAAAATTATTTAAAATACTATGGAAATTCCAAAATATTAGAGTTTTATTTATTATCTTTAGCGATTGATTGTTGAACTGCATTAGATGCATCAACGAGCGAAATATCCCATTCAGCATCCCAATATATACGAATAATATAAAATTTTAAGCATATCAGTATTTTTTCACTTTTAGTAAATATACTGTGAAATCTTTTCAAGATTATGAATTTTTTTTTGAAAAGCCATTTATAGAAAAAGCTTTCAATATTAAATTATAAGATAAACTTTATCGTAGTAATCAAAGTTGCAAATAAAGTTTCCATAATAATATTACAAAAATCAAGACGGTTTTATTTGTTTGCTAAAATTGTAATATGTGCTTTGGTTCCAGACATATGTGTGCCTATTTTTTTTTAAAAAAACTTAAAATTTTTGCATATGACAAGAAAAAAATGTGTGATGATGCATTTGTTAGTGTTAGCGTGTTAGCAGTGTTTGCAACAAAAAATCGTAACATGCGGGAAAAGACGCACACAATTAAATTTTACTTAAAAACAATCAATACTTAAACAAAATACCATGTTCAATATATTTACTGTTTAGTACCTGTTAGTACTATTTAGTACTATTTATACCATTTTTTATGTTATGATTGTTTTTAAGTAAACATTTTTTATACAAACCAAATTAATAAATATTTCAGTACCTACTTGTATTTAAATTTTAAATACCAATCCATAAAAAATCAAGTACCAGACAAGTATCAACTCTGGTTATTTAATTGTTAGTACAAATATTTTTATTGATTGGATGCAATAAATAATGCATATTAAGAGTCTTAATACTTACTACTATAAATTTTAATAAAGGTCAATTTTGATAAGTAAATTAAATTTTGAAATAGGTAAATAACTTAATAAATCGCAGTAAAAGTTTATTTGATGGTTATTATGATAATTGATAAAAATTTAATCGAAAGCTAGTGCAAAATATAAATCAAGTGATTACAGAAGCTTTTTCAAAAGTATTGCATAAGATCTTCAGTAATTAACTTATAAAAAGCTTCCAAATTCCATAAAATTTCTTATATTTTTGAAGCAGAATATAAAACAAATATCATGAAATAGTAAAATACGAGTTCAAAGTCAAAAAGATATGGGAAACAAAAATACAAGAAGTAAAACAGTAATAAATTACGTTTTCCTAGATTTAGCAAAATTACCATAAGTTATTGAAATTTGTTCTAAAATCAGAGAATCTGGGGAGTTTATATACCATCCATTAGAGTGAAAAATTTGATTACCTATCAAATGGTTTAGACTGGTTCTACCAAATAAACAAATACAGATATATACCCTAGACCAGTACCTCAAGGCACCCATTGAAAATGACCCTCATCAACAAAGAAAACTTAGGAAATAAAATTCTTAAGTAACCCATAGGACCTTTGGAATAATTTACTTTTCCAAAACTACTCACTTTTATCAGGAACGATATCGTTATGAATATGGAGAATATGAACATTCCTCCAAGACCATAAAGATGAAGAGTCCGTCTTCCAGTTCGATCCATCAGAGGAATTGACACCAAAGTCATCAGGACCATTATGCAGCCGATGCCAATGGTGGCGAATTTTGCACTTTCCTCAGTCAACCCAGAGGAGGTGAACAATGATGTCGAGTAATAGAAGACCTAGATGAGGAAAATAATTTTAGTTATATATTCTTAATACCATAGCATTTCTTGTACACTAAATTTCTATGTATTCACTAAAAAATCGCAAAAATTATTAACTTCCTGAAATAAACTAAATGTACTATGTGTGCATATATGTCTACGTGAGATAAAATTGGAGCATACATCGACAATTTCTCAAATATTGTTGCACCAATTTAAGAAATTTAAAAACTATTTGATGAAAGTCAATAAGGACAAGGCAAAATGTTTTAGGACATTATAACTCACAGCATTTATCCCACTAAGCTGCTGTGACAATTGCATCACAATACTGATGACCAAAGGTGCTCGGAGTGTCGGCGAACAAATCAATTCCATCATTGATATAGAGGACTCAGACTGTTGAGCCCTTTCTTCAGCTCGCATTTCTTCAATGTCTTCTTCCACTTGATTGGAAGCCCGCAGCCTCCTTAGAGCTACAAATTAAGAATGACATACATATTAATTGATAAATAAAAACAACAATTATTATTGGTTTTCACGAAATATATTATTACCTTTTCTAGCCTCCTCTTCCCATTGCTTCGTGATGAGAAGATACCGCGGAGACTCTGGGCAAATTGGCAGTAGGAGTAATTGTAGAATGGCAGGGAATATAGCTAAACCTAGTAAGAGACAATGAAATATATAAAAACCACACAGTTATATGTTGTTTAATCTATGAGTATAAATTATTTATTTTACCTAAAAGCAGTGGCCATCCATCGTCGGTGCCCAAAATTTGTTCTATTCCAAGGACTTGAGATAAAAGCAAACCGACAGTGACCGCCAGCTGGTTCACAGTGCCAAGGCCTCCTCTCAAATTCAAAGGCGCTATTTCAGATATGTACATAGGAACCAGAGATGTATTCAACCCTAAAAAATAAAAAAATAGTTATTAATTAACTGTGCAATATTTCTACTCAATAGACATTGTCTATATTTTATATTGAACCATTAGTTGAGGTCGAAGATTGAGAAAAAAGAAATTATATTTGAGCGAATATCCCCACATCAAACAATTATTTTTTTTGTCGATTTCGATATACTTGTGATTAAAATATTAATGTAGTAATTGCCATTTTTACACGCTTTTCGTTCTCAATGAATTACGCGTTAGTTTCTTCTTCAACAATAAATGTTATAAATTATATAAAACTTATCTACGTAGTATATAATATATAATAATTTGTATTTATATATTCATATAAATTGATCTAAGTGTGTTTCCCTTTTTTGCAAATAAAAGTTATATCAAAAGGGACTAATTTTATTTCGTTTACGATGATATATTTCGTTTATTTCGTTTTCGTTTACGGGTGATAAATTTATTTTATCAAGTACAGTTAGAAAATCATAAAAAATTGATATGGGGTAAATACTTAGAGTCCACCACGACACAACTAGGGGTGCATGGCATCGTGCTTTAAGGCAAATTGCTGGAACTTTTCGTACCAGAAGTAAATTTTCGAGGGGAAAAAATCAGTAATCAATAAATAGATATATCTACTGATCAATAATTCATGACAATCGTTTTAAAGATTTTCAAATAGATAATCATAAAAACTATATATTTTATCGCTCATATATAATATAATATATAGCAACAATTTCATTGTATGAAACACTCAAGAATATTTACATTAACAAGAGATGCAGAATGAATCCATCTGAAGATATATTTCTTACAATTAGAATAACGCATATGAAATATACGTACATTTTTAATTTGCATTGTAAATTTAAATTTTATGTTGAAAGAATAAAACTTTGTATTTTTTAAAAAAATAAAAAAAAAATCTGCAAATTTAAAATTTATTTGAACCGTATAAGTGAATTTTAAAAACTAAAATCTTGGTACGGAACCCAAAAAATTGTAGCAAAATTATAACTCATTTTTATAATCTCCATAAAATATTTGATGATTTGATGAGCATATGTTTAATGATTATTTTTGACATCCACAATTTTTATATTGTGGATTTATATCCAAAACCGCTGAACCTGCCTTCCCAAAATTTTTATCATTTTTCTTCATTTGTATCCAAACATACATACACAAACACACACACCTACATCCATTTTTTCTAAGGTGAGCCAAAATGTTCAGAAAATTTGAAACGTAAAGATATGCAATTTTTTTTATTTTTTATTTTTATGCTATTAATTTTAACTTTTTCCTATATATCTCAGAAACTTAATAAAAGAAATTTAATAAATTTTTCATTTGTATCCGAACATACACAAACGCACACACACACACACACCTACCTCCTACATCCATCTATTGTAAGGTGAGCCTAAAATTTTCAGAAAATTTTGAAACGTGAATATACAAAAAAAAATTTTGCTATTAATTTTAACTTTTTCCTATATATCTCAGAAACTTAATAAAAGAAATTTAATAAATTTTTCATTTGTATCCGAACATACACAAACGCACACACACACACACACACCTACCTCCTACATCCATCTATTGTAAGGTAAGTTTAAAATTTTCAGAAAATTTTCAAACGTAAAGACAAGAATTTTTTTTTTGCAATTACTATACCACCCTACGGGAAATTAAAAACATTGGAAACCTATGTTCTAGGCTAAAAATATTTCTCACATTCTCAGCTCTATCCTGACACGACACCAATGTATCTAACATCTGTAAAGTGCTGTACAGAGTGCAAATAGACCGGATTTCTTCCAACCGCACATTACAGGTGTAACAATATCGAACAATATCCTTTCCGTCCAGTCGAGTGAACAATTCTGCTGCGGTTGACGTTTCATAACCGGGAGGAGAGGAGCAGAACTAAGCAAGCGAACGCAGCACAATGCATGCCTCCTCTATCCGCTGCGAAGCGTCGACGCTTTGTTGCAGAATAATACGCCCCGACGCCCGCAACGGGGACTTCAGTTAGGCGTGCGTCGAACACTGACACGATGCTTAGCTCGATGGAAATTGGCAGTTGGTAGGCAAACTAATACGTATACAGGGTGTCCCAGAACTCAACGTCAACCCGAAATAGAGTGATAATATTCACCGTAATTGTCTCAAAAAAATTAGAAACTAGTGGGGCGCATGGCACCGTGCATTAAGGCAAATTGCTGGTAATTCCCGTAGCAAAAAAATAAGTTTTTAAAACAGATTCAATAGAACTCAAAAAATCACCTTTTTGAAAAATTTGAATTTTTTAATACTCTGAATTATTTTGGAAGTTTTGAGCTTTTTTTCAAAGCAATCGCGATACGTTAACTGCTAACGGATGAACATTGTTACAGAACCCATAGAAATGTAAACATAATTTGTTTTTATTATTTAAATATCTATAAAATATGTGATAATTTGATGTGCATATATCTAATGATAATTTTTATCCGCCTAATGGCATTTTTTACTGTTTTTATTATATCTCCGCAACCGCTAGACTGTCTTCCCAAAAATGTAAACAAATACAAATAAAACATTTTTTGAATCATTCAAATCGGACGCTCGAATCTCTCAAAAATTGAATTACCGTTTTGGCACTTTCTGACGCGTATCTTCAGTACGGCTGAACATACCTTGCCAAAAACTAAGCAGCACGTATCTTTAGAAATCAAATGTTTTTTTGATCATTCAAATTGATTGATTAGTGTTCTCGCAATCGTCGACGAAAAATTGTATCCGCACATACATACAAACACACACACACAATGTTTAGAAACTTTCGAGACGTAAATATATATAAAAATTTTACGGGACGTTAAAAATAATCAATAATATATTTATTATCAAACATACAATTATTATTGGCAAGTTCCATTCAACATTTGCGCAATTAATTAAGATTGTAAAATGGTAGAATACTTGGTAACTTTACACTAAAAACGAGGAATAAAACCTAATAATAAAAAAAATTATGATATTTAAAATTTTTGCACACACTCTTATACGAGTATATAATGAAACATGGATATATATATATATATATGTATATATATATGTATATATATATATATATATATACATAGGTATATATATAAGGCTGGTCCTTAATATGGACATTTTCGAATTTCCTTGCTCACAAGGGCTCAAATGGTTCCAAATTGATAAAAAACATAATTTTCTGAAAGTTTTAGCTCTTAATGTTAACTTTTAGATAGTGCGCAATTCAATCAAACTTCATATGGAAAGAGCATGAAAAAATTTTGAAAATTAAAAATTTTTTTTTAGGTATAACTTAGTGACAAATGAATTACAAGAGAAAATTCGTATCATTTTTTATTCAAAATTTGACGCTTTGCTAAACAGGTTTTTTATAATTTGTTTTGTAGAGCGTCGAACTTTGAATAAAACTCATTCATTTGTTCGCTAAATTATATCTAAAAAACATTTTTAAAATTCTTGAAAAATTTTCAATGCTATTTCCATACAAAATTTGATTAAATTGCGCACTATCTAAAAGTTAATATTAAGAGCTAAAACTTTCAGAGAATTTGGAACCATTTGAGCCCTTGGTAGCAAGGAAATTCGAAAATGTCTATATTAAGGACCACCCTAATATATATATATATATATATATATATATATATATATATATATAATTTGTTTATATTAAAACATTCATTCAAAATACATTAAAATTTACAGCCGTTGATAGATCTTGGTTGTATATCTTAGGACTCTAATAGAATAGAGATCAATTAATAGGTAATTCAAAATACTTAATTTTCTAGCTTAATAGAAAAAAGTCACCGGACAGTATGCAATTTGTGAACACCTATTACTAAAAAAGTATCCAATTAGAAAACACCTATTTTGAGAGAAAATGTACTGATATAGTGTATTACGACTGTACACAAGACAATTAGCCGTGAATTAATTTTAATTTATTCATGTGGCAGCAACGACTCAATCAACTATTCAAAAATAATTATTTGTTGGAAGATTATTAGCATATGCTCTACTTATTACTGGCTAGAGTTATCACATTTCTGGTGTAATGAATTCCAAGCATGCTTATTATTTTTTAATATCTTATGACAGTAATATAACACAATCATTCTTCATAAATATTTTCATCACTCATATAAAAATTCATCTCTTTGAAGTCAAACTGACGAGCTAGCTCTCTTCGTTTTCCATGAAGTATAAAAAAATTCCATTGATCGCTATGTCTTTTCCCAAGACCTATATATCGTTGACATATCGTTTCTTACGATGCAAACAAGAAATAAATCAAGATTGATAGATAAATAAAATATTTGACAACGGTACATGTTTGCACAAATTTTCCGGCTGACATGCAACGCTGCGCTCGTCTGAGGATAGCGTGGCTTTTCCTCCGACAAGTAATGTATAGTTTTCTTATTTGATGGTATGAAGTCGAGGAAAAGAAAAATTGTATTAAAGTGAAAAGTTTTAACATTCGTCAAGTTTTGTGTTCCACTAAAACGTAGTTGGATATATGATTAGGTTTCTCAAAATATCGAAGAAAGAGATCGGTTGTATTGTCCTAGAACTAAAGTAAACGTTTTGAGAACCAAGATCGATAATTATCCACATTGCTAATGGGTAGAGTTACAGAAATACAGAAAGTATGTCTAGTTTTTTAAGCGTATTTAAGAGGTTGTTAACTAAAATTTATCATTATGTTAAAATTTGAACTTACCACAATTGACGCCAATAATAAATCTTCCAAAAAAGAGCATCTCGTACGAATGAGTTATCTTCGTGAAACCCATTAGACAAGCGCCAGTTATTCCTAGAACATTGTTCAGAAGCAGACCGCCTTTTCTGTAATTAAAAAAAACATCATAAATATTTATATAATTTTTGGTCAAAGACTCAATATAATATCAGAAAAAATAAATCTCAACATTTTGTTTGATTGAAATTAAACCATAGATTCTTCTTGTAAGCAGAAAATTTTAAGGCAATAGCATAGTAGCTATGAGATTTATTATTATATGAAAAGTCTCTACAGATTAAATACATAGACATTATATTTCAAAAGGTAATTAGTTATAACCCAGACTCATAAGCAAACCTATATATAGAATAAAGGTAGTGACTGGTTTGCCATCCTTTTCCTACTACTTTTAAATATTGGTGTTGAATAATTTCCAACTTTGCTTGTTTTTGAGCTATCGACTCAAAATGGACCTTGAACCTTTGAGCCCCCGAATATGTATATATATATATATATATATATATATATATTTATATATATCGTAACGTTTTGACAATACGGCCCTGAATGAAACTAACACGTGGTTCCTTAGTAGCGTGTCAAAATTTCTTAAAAAATGACAAGATCCCATCGCTTTTTAAATTTCCCGTAGAATTTGAACACATGCTAAAAACTGCTTTAAGAAAAAATGTGACATTTCTATTCAAATTTCGAACAGTAAATCATATTGTTAAGTTAAAAAAATATGTTTATTAGTGTGTTTACCATCTGTGAGGTTAAAAAAATTTATCAATGTGCACATACTCATACCATGGATTAATAATGGTTTCATATGTTATATTAGAATACAAAATTGTAAGTGTTTTATTATTATTATTATTATTATTGTTTTTCTATGAAATTCCTTACATATTATTTATTTAGTTCTAATTTATATAGTTAAATTGATTACCACTGAATGAAGGCTAAGATGGTAGCCGAAATGTATAGATTTTAAATATATAAATTTTTAAAAAACTCTCATACTATATATATATATATATATATATATATATATATATATATATATATGTGTGTGTGTGTGTGTGTGTGTGGTTTCTTTACTGTTAGCAGATTAGCTACGATTACCCAAAAAATCCTGAATAGATTTTGAAAATTTGGAAATCGTTCAGTCGACATCAGAAAGAAATTGTGCTGGTTAGTTATTGGTAAAGATCGGTCGGGCTGTTTCTTTGTAATTGGTTGATGAAAAAATGCTATTGATTTTGATGGAACTTCATATGATCTTATAAGTCATGTTGTAATCAAGAATCTTAGTATAGTAATTACACAAATTCGGTTTGTTTTGCGAAGTTTTGCATAAACAACGATGATGAATAAAAACATTAAATACCACATTTCGTCATTTAACTTTTAAAATCTGGCTTAGAGAATATTTACAAAAACCATTCATTCATATGTTATATCACAGTCTTTGTTCAAATACTGTTTGAAAAGTCTGCTGGATGTCGCATTTAAAACTCCCGCCGTGTATTAAATTTTCCGAGCTTTTCTCTTGGTTTTCCGGAGTTCGTCGAAAAGGGTTGTCGGACAATAGTGCTAAACGATGCGAACGATTATGCACACAAGGACACAATTCAAACAAATGTCTCGGCTCCGTGTCCTGCCATGAATATTAATGATGGAGAAGTGCTGCACCAGGATATTTGGTACCTCTACTGTTGAACTGTTTTTTGAGTCGATTAAGGATGATTCGACTTTGATTCAATAAAAGTATAGGCAAGTGTGCGATTTTCATTAGAAATTATTTCTATATTATTCGTAGTTTCCATAAATCTTTGAAGTTATTAAAATGGAAAGTATTTTTTAGGCAAGACAGATATTACAGCTGTTTAAAGTAAAAAGTAAAAAAAATACAAGCAGTCAATAAATGTATATTAATTTCAATTACATGAAGTTCTTCAAACACAATTACATGATGAGTGAAGTTTCGAAAACAATAATTGTTTAGGTGTTGTTTAACATAATCCTAAACATAGTGAACAAATATTATAGAAGTTATTAATCAGTAATTACTTCATTTCTCTAATGAAGGTTCATTTCAACAAACCGATCATGTCATATTTGAAGTATAACTTTAATTACATTATTGTTTTTAAATATTATACATATTTTTAATGCTAATATAAATATATAATTTATAACACTAATAAATGTGTGCATCATGAGTGTTACTATATTACTAATATACATTATTAAAAAGTATTATATGAAGTATTTATTTTTACTTAAATGCCATCTTTTACAGTAGCAAATAAGTTTTACTTCAATCGCGTGTGAACCTTACGCGCACTCTTTTTTTTTCAATTCAATTGATTTGACAAATTCAATTGATTTGACGTATTTTGAATAAATAATTATTTGGTTTTTAACGAAAATTATTTCCGCCATTTAACAGCTGTAAAGTGGTACTAAAAATATAAATATAACTTTGGATTTTTTCAAATCAATGGAACTGTTTTTGAGAGAACATCGACGATAAGTAAAATTTTCGCGTACATAAACATACAGATATACTAGTACTTAATCAATTGCGGTGCCAAACGATTCAGAATTACTTAAACGATAAAACAATAAAAGTGGAAAAAAACATAATGATTGACTAATAGAATTTCTTGGCAAAACAAACTTTTCATTTTGGCAGTGAAGTTCAAATTTGCTAATTAGTAAGTATAAAACTTCATTCCATCCAATATATTTCTTATTTATTGATCTAATTCCTGACCACGCCCGCATACAGCATCTCTAATAGGAAGAGACAATATACAAACAAACAAGTCCTCGTCCTCAGTCCCTAGTCCTCGTCCTCGTAGGGAACTAATGCACAGGACTGAGAAATGTCGTACCGAGCACAAACTTTTCTGAAATATGTTCAAACACTTCACGACGAGAGCTAATAAGCGACAGACACACTACAAGCTGACGAAATTAGCTACGAGGATTTCCAATCAGGGATTGTCAACAGTGGGAAGGGATGATACATTGATAACAATTTGGAATCGATTATCGGTTCAGTAAAGTTACGAGGTCTATCTATTGTAGTGTATTTTGTCGAATTTGAGGGATAGTAAATCAAACCGACACTGAAATATGTAGAACAAAAAAATAAGTGGATTTTGTGACAACATCAACAAAAGAAATTAATCCTAAAACCTTAAATTTGATGGAAGCAAATATATGGAGACAAGCTTTTCTATAAATAACTAGCAAATCGGTCGAACTCCGTTTTACCATCAGATGGTTTCATTTTATGTAACATTTCGTTTGGTGATTAAAAGATGAAGAAAAAAATTGCGTGCTGCTGAAATTGAATAAAAATTTGCACAATACACGTGATTGATTTGATGGTTTCCAATTGAAATGTTAGGAGACGAATAGCTTATTATTTTTACTTTTTTGCACAATTTCACAGTGAACACAATGCCGGTTTTTCACATGAAATTAACTGAGCAGAGAACAATGAGTAGCTGTCAAACAAATGAGTGGCAGTAAAACAAAAAATATTAGTTTGTAGTACATGGTAAGTATCAGAGATGACGCTGTATGTGAAAAAAGAAAAAGTTTTTCGCTTTTCTGTTGAAATCTTTCTTCAATTTTCTTTGCTATAAACCTCACAGAGTACGAGACCTTTCCAACAAATGCAAAATCATCGAAATCGGTTGCGTTCTGGAGTTATATTGCCAGGAAGGAAAATCCGACTTATTTTTATGTAATAGAAATTTATATAATGTTTAGGGAAACAGATAAAATGACGTATTACACGACTGCCCTGGGTAACTGTGATGTAGGTGGCAAACTAATGAATTTTGCAATTTATAATTCGCAAAATATTGATCATTATTATTGTAACCGGTATTCAGCATTACGAACGGTCAATATATAAACTACGCAATATGTTTGATTATTCATTCCTTACAACATTGTAATCCATTATGAATCCTGAAGTTCTCTTCAGAAAGTAAATTAGAAATCATTTCCATTTTATCAGCACAATTTAGAATAAGACAAATCCAAAATACAAAATATCTGCAAAATTTGAGATGTAGTCTACCTATGAATCCTTGTATCAAAATGTTGACAATCCCTTTCCAGGTGTTACAAATTGCACTCACATAGTCTGAATGTAGAATGCAGAATGCATTTTCAGTAGCTAAATGCATTCGCTTGTAAACGATTTCGGTTGATTGTTTTGAACGAGTTCCTACACATTGTCGGAACGAAAGCGCCTGAGTATGGATTTCGAGCGATACTCCAGGATATGGAGTCGTTCCGAACAAATTCTAAACTATATTATATGTATTATATATGAGAGAGTGTTGCTTCGATGTATTACAAGCACGTAAATAGTTGTTCTGTTGATAGTCAGTCATTCATGTATACTTGAGGATTAACTAGTAATTATAAGTTGGATGAGATGATGATGGCAATAAAATGACGTTTATAGAGAATATAAAATATGTATGTTGGATACTTGTAAATTTTTGGATTGTATTTTATGAATTTATCTATGTATCTTATAAATTATGACTTACACATCTAGTTTTTATTACAAAATAAGGTTCATGGTAAACGCTGGGACCATTCTTCTAGTACATTGGTATAAATGTGTACGATTAATCTCTTGATTTGGTGAGTACTAGTCATGTACTCACCAAACCGTGTACAACAGTATCGGTCTTGAAAAGTGTCCGCTTGTTCTTCACTCTCAGCGGACTGTTGTACTTTAATATAGATCTCAGTAAATTTATAATCCCGTAAGACCGTCCGATTTTGCCATCCTTCTAGTACATCGGTATAAATGTGTACCATTAATCTTATGTATTCTCAAAAAATAGAAGTTAAAATATCATGAACGTGTATTTCATTTTCCTTCTAACAAAATACAAAAGAAGTATAAATCATCAGTAACTACCACAAAGCCAGTCAGTTTACGTATGTAATTTGTAGAGTAATAGCGTCTGGTCAGTGGGTCTCTTGATTTGTTGAGTACTAGTCATAAGGCTTTATTTTGTACAGTCTTTAGTTTTTGTAAGTTTGTCGCTGGAGCGGTGTATAAAGGTCCTGGAAAGTGTCCGCTTGTTCTTCACTCTCAGCGGACTATTGTGCTTTAATATAGATCTCAGTAAATTTATAATCCCGTAAGACTGTCCGATTTTACCATCCTTCTAGTACATCGGTATAAATGTGTACCATTAATATTATGTATTCTCAAAAAAATAAAAATTAAATAATCATGAATGTGTATTTCATTCTACTTCTAGCGATATACAAAAAAAGTATCAATCATCAGTAACTGCTACAAAGCGAGTCAGTTTATGTATGTATTTTGTAGAGTAATAGTGTCTGGTCAGTGGGTCTCTTGATTTGTTGAGTACTAGTCATAAGTATGTAATTTTTGTAAGTTTGTTGCTGAAGCGGTGTACAACAGTATCGGTCTTGGAAAGTGTCCGCTTGTTCTTCACTCTCAGCGGACTGTTGTGCTCAGTAAATTTTTAATCCCGTAATACTGATTTTTATGTTTTATGTTGATATTTTATATGTTGTAACATCAAGGTATTTGACATTCTTGGATCATTCAACTTCGCTTTAGGTTATTTTGGTGTTAATTAATAGTAGTGTAAATAGTTAACTCCCGCGTTTAACCCAATTCGCATAAAATAATTGCATGAATTTATATAAAATAATTTATTCTTCGGCAAGAATTTTCCACTGTCGATATATTTTACTAAGAAATATATTCTAAAATATATCCTCACCTGCCAAATCTATTAGCTATCATTCCGCCGCTGAATCCGCCGAGCATTCCTCCAATAGCAAATATACTGACAGCGACAGAATACAACTGCTTGACAGACTCCTCGAGAATGTCTTCACCATATCGATCCTTATACACATCTTTCATGAAATTTTCTATATTCTGAAAAAGAACCAAATCAAATATTCAGAAATGTGTATGCTAGCTTTAGAGGAAAGATCATATTATGCAATTTCAATACTGTATTCGAAGAAGTTTGTAAGACGACATTGATGTAACTTGGTAAAATGCAAGTTATGAAGTATATTCTACCAATTTAATAGGCAGCAATAGTTTATTTCCTTATATGGACATATAACAAGGAAATAAATATAGACAGGAAGTTCGAAAATATATAAAAATATATATAAAGAAGATATATATTGTATTATACAATATGAAATTTTGACAAGCGAAAAAAATGAAATAAATATCTAAATGTATTACATTTTATTCTGAAAAACTCGAAAATGAAGCAGCCAGTATAATTTGTCATTTGATTATAACAATAGCTTTAATTTGCTTCAAATCGAATTCAGAACTGAATGAAATATAATTTATATACACAATACTATTAAGTTAATAAGACTGACTTACCAATTCTGGTGCATTTATGACACCCGTATTGTATCCAAATTGCAACATTCCTAAAACTGCGGCCAATATCGCGTAGGATAGGAAAAACGTTAGGCCCTGCAAAAAAATAAAAAATATATATTAAATAATATAATATTTTATATGTATCAAAATACCTATGAAATGCATACACTTTTATGCACTATTTATTATATATTTTAAAATTTTACAAACATTTCCGGACTCAGTTTTTACTTGAATTGAATAATATTACTCATCCAGACTACAACACACATGTGATGGTTACGACAGTGTAAGTGATAAGTCGTGCATCGGATAACAAGGACTTTCTGCTCAATGATAAAATATATTTAAGTAATATGATAAAATATAAAATATATTTAAACGATTATGAGATAATCTAGTCTCGAAACAGTTGTAAAATTTAAAATATTTAATAAATTTTGCAAAAAATTATTGTATGTTTATATTTCATAGTTAATTTTATATTTCATCCACTCATAACACTATATATATATATATATATATATATATATATATATATACAATAATGATGTAATTTGCTGATTTTTTTTACTTCCATGCTTAGGAATCTTTCTGTACAACGTACAGATTTATGCAAATTATTTTCTGTCGTTCAAATCTCGTCCCATATAAATTAACAGCTTCAATTATATTTGCAACCAAATTATAAGTATAAAAACTTTTCTCTCTCGTTGTTAAACTTTACCCATTTGGCCAATTAGCTTATTCGACAAACGTTTCTACTGAAACTCCTAATTGATACAGAATCGGAAATTTTAATCATTTATATACTTTCTTCCTGAAGTTTTTAACGAACGATGAAGGAATAGAATTATCGAAACGTAAATAAATTATATATAAAAAGAGAGAAGGAGAGAGAGAAAGAGAGAAGGAGAGAGAGAAAGAGAGAAGGAGAGAGAGAAAGAGAAGAAGAGAGAGATGGAGAAAGAGAGAGATGGAGAAAGAGAGAGATGGAGAAAGAGAGAGATGGAGAAAGAGAGAGATGGAGAAAGAGAGAGATGGAGAAAGAGAGAGATGGAGAAAGAGAGAGATGGAGAAAGAGAGAGATGGAGAAAGAGAGAGATAGAGAAAAAGAGAAAGAGATAGAAAGAGAGAGAGAGAGAGAGAGAGAGAGTTAGCCAACCACATGGCACAAAGATTCCATTTGATTTTGAGAAATTATCTTGTTAAAACCAAGCTAAATATATCACAAAAAATAACACATATTAAACACTATTTAAAAAAATCACTTTTCGTATAAATATTGATACATTTTCGTTGATCTCCTGATTTCGATATCGTAAGAATTAAGGTGATGCTTATCGTTAGTTACACATAATTTGCCTTCTACTTTAAAATAGCATCAATAGAAAAATTCTAAACTTTGCTTGTTTTTTTTTAGAGAACCACATTATATGGACCTTCAAGCCCCGCTCTACGTTATATATACATATATATATATATATATATATATATATATATATATATATATATATATATATATATATATATATATATGTATATTTGTATGTTAGTAAGTATTCCTATATGTATCACTGTTTCGAATCGAAAATCAATTAAATAAAACTTTTTTAATAACGAAACTTCTACCGGAAACAATATGATACGACATCGTTCGTTAAATTCCCGCAAAAGTAAAGAAAACTAAGTCGAACTTTTTGCTGAAGTCGATTGTAGCCTTTCTGCCAATATATCTGTATAGCTAGTTATATCTTTTTAGAACTTTTTACTCTAGCATAAATTTCCTCATTCTTTTTAATGTGATTTTTCAGAATTGTAAAAATTGCATATAGTTAAAGAAAATGCACAAAAAGCAAACATATTTAAATTGTTACTTTAATTGTATATGATTGCCCTCTAGTAATATACAGGGTGTATCAGAATGAGGGTCAAAATTTTTCAAAATTCAACCCTTATCTTTGGCTCAATGCACGGGACATCAGAATTCATTTTAGAGGTATGGTTTCTTGAGAAAAGTATCTTCTTTTGGTCCCTAGAATCCGAAAATCATATGTGCCTAAGTGACCTTTAAATCGACCCGCCCTACCTGACAATGTTACAAAATTAAGATTTTTGTGCTTTCTCGCTAAAAAAGCCATAATTATTTGGTAAAATAACAAAAATGTTGAAATGTGTCTTGGAAGTTACGTGGGCCCATAGAAGGTCGGTATATGTATTCTGAGGGCGGCACGCTGTTCCGTATAGCAGTGTCTTTCCTTTGAAACACTGCCGTAGCAAAAGAGTTAAAAATATAAAAATCCATTAAACTTGTAACAAATATATCAAAAATCTCAAAAAACATGCTGTTGGCTTTTATAAAGCAATTTATCCATCGCACGCACATTACTCGCACGTAACAGAATTAACTTCACGTGCGATAACTGAAAGGTATTATTTAAGTTTAATTAAAGTTCCTGTTATTGTGGAATATTGTGGCACGATAGCTAGCTCTCAACTGTATTTTCATTTTCATACAGTTGTTGCCAGCCTAAGACGGTTAACCATTCCGAGATCTATTATACGAAACCTGAAGAGATTATACACGAAATAACTAAATCCGGAGGCTTAAACTGAACCGAACGCATAAAGCAGGGAAAAGGGTAGTAAGCAGATATAAGCCATTGTGTTATATTTACGGGGAAATGATTTATAATAATCAATCCGGGATGTTTATTATATTGTAATATAGAAAACGATTTTGTTTTTGGAGAATATATATGGAGCCCCTCTAGGGCAGGGCCGTGAGCTGAGTTAAATTCCAACTAGATTCAAGGAAGAATAGTGTAAGAGATCGTCAATTGCCATTTTACAGTGTCCGATATGGGTTTAGAAACATATTTTTGATCAAAATAAGATACTTTGCTGAAGAAACCACACCTCTAAAATGAATTCTGATGTCTTGTGCATTGACCCAATAATAATGGTGAAAATTTAAAAAATTCTATTTTGACGCATTTAGAGAACCCCAATTTTCAAAACTCAACAATTATTTTTGACATAAGAATTTATTTTCAGAGTATGGTTTCTTCAGCAAAGTATCTTATTCTGATTCCTAGAATCCAAAAATCACATAATATACCTAAGTAACCTTCTATTAGATATATGCTGTTTTTCTCAAAAAATATTTTATAATTTTCCCAGAGAAAAGTTTGATTTCCCGACGTATAAGTCATTCTGAATCGATCGATGCAAAATTTAAAGCCCATTTGATACGATCATCAACATTGTTTCCAATTTTGGTATAAATCATAAACTAGCAAATCGAATTTCCAGACAAAAACATTTTTTTTCAATGTTAAGTTAATAAAAACCAAAGAATAAATAACCAAAATATAATGTTAATATATAATATGAATTATGATATTACATATTATATTTCAACACAAGAAAACTCACATAAAATCATATTTTTTATTAAATAATATAAACATTTTATAAAATAATATAACACGTTATTAAATTTATTATAAGTAAGTACTTAATTAAATATAATATGAATAAAATTATAAAATTGATCTAAATACAAATGCATGTAACTGTAAAACAAACTATAAAGGACATGAAAAAATTAACCTGTGAATATTAAAAGCAATATTAAATAAAATAAGATAATAAAAAATCTGTAAATAAATATTTAATAAATTAAAATATGAATTAAACCTGTAAATGAAATTAGAATTCTAAAAATAGATAAAAAAATTAGATTATAAATGGAAATTATAAATTAATCCTGAAAATAAGATAAATGATTCTGAAAATAAATAAAAAAGATAAATTATAATTGAATATATAAATTAATTCTGTAAATAAGATGAATAATTCTGAAAAAAAGATTAATTATAACAAACTTGGAACAACTAAAGCCTAACAATTATAATTAACAAAAATAGATCTATACCGATAAAGTGTGAATCTGCCAAAAACCCAAACTATTGATTTATCAACTTCTGGTTTAAGTAAACAATGATAATATTATATTTATTTTAAATAAAATGTTATTTAATTTTATATACCTATAACATATTCACATAAATAATTATAATTGTGTTTCGACTAGAAAATCCAAAGTATTTGGATTGTATTACTCTGAATCATAAATGCAATTTTTTTTATAACTATGATTTATATTTAGCAATCAAGAATGCGCAATCTATGAGCTTAATGACTATATATAAAAGTGCAAAATCTAAAATCTGTAATGAGATCTAAGATCTCATTAGTTTATATACGCAGACAAATTGTCGTTGACCAAAATAAATTTTCTTTAATTTTTTTTTTAGTTCAAACGAACTGATTTACATTCATCTTGCAATGATGTCGAAATACTATATTTATTAGAGAACTTAAAATTCTAATTAAATATTTTCCAATGGAAAAATATGTACGACATATACAATTCTTAAAATGTTAATTTACAGTCGGTCGTCGAATTGAAAGAACAATAAATAATGATCTATTTATTTATACGTTTCGACACGGTATGTGTGCTATCATTTAGCAAAATTTTTTCAAGTAATAAACAGTATCCACCCCAGGAAAAACACTCACAAAAAATTAAACTAACAATATTATTTAGAACAGACAGTTATGTAGCCTCACTACATGATAATAAGGTATGTAATTTATGTCTCAACGTCGAACACAAAATCTAAATCATATATATATATATATATATATATATATGTGTGTGTGTGTGTGTGTATATTTATGTATTACAAAATATGATCAAACCTGCTCCAGAAGCCGAAGCTTTCGCCTATGAGAGTGCTCCTCCAACCTGTCGACGTACTCCCTAAGTTCCTCGATCTCTTCCTTGACCTGTTGCACTGTGTCCAACTCGTGCTTAATGGCCACCATATCTCGTTTTACCTGAAAATCATAAATTATATATTAAAAATATCACAATATTAATATAAATCTTTTGGTTCGTACAGCTACGAAGAAATTCAAGAAACATCTTAAGGAAAATTCAAGAAACAGATAATATTAACATACTAATTGTTATTTTTTTTTACTTTCAAGAAATGTAATAATTTTCTATTTTTATTATTTTGTAGCGTATCCATAAATTTCACATATCTAATATATGTAATATTTTATCATTGAATTTATTTATAAATTATTTAAAATTATTATTCTCAAGCTTTTGTTGTGTACATTCGTTTATAATTTTCCCTACACACGCCATAACTGGACTCATTTTCATTTTATATTACATGAAGCATTATGGAATGTAAATAAACAAAGAAACACAACGGACTTAATGAATTTAAACATGAAGCTTAATAAATTCGCCCAGTTTCGCGATTTATTTTCTTTGGTTATAATTAATACAACCTCTCACAAGTGAACAAATGGAATTCTGCAAAACTGTATAATATGAAATAATAGTAAGAAATATTGTAGGAGAAGAAAATGGATTATCATAAACTGGCTAATAATACAATGTATTAGATGGGGAATTAGAAATGTAAATTTGATCAACAGGACTGTAGACTTCAAATCAGTAGATTTGAAGATTTTCTTCAGGGATTAACAAAGTCGTCCAGAAATTTCATGATATCTGTTGAAAATAAGTTGCTACTATATAAATCAATCATTAAACCAATCCGGACCTACGGAATTGAGCTCTGGGGATGTGCTTACGAATCAAATATAGCTATAATGCAGAGAACTCAGTCAAAATTTTTACGTGCAATACTTAATTCTCCGTGGTACGTGACAAATGAAACCATTTGGCGTAAGAAGATTGAAACGTGAATGGCCTTTAGATTTAGCCTTACATTAGCTTCAATATAACATTATCTTTTCAATTGTTAAACTAAGAAGATCTCACTGGAGTTCTTCATAGACATCACTCTCAAATATTGTCAATTTAGCTTATAGGAATCCTCATGTATTTCTGATTGCTGAATAAAATAGAGTTACAAAAAAAGAAAAAAAATTACATGGTGTGAAAACGTACGTACAAAACTTGATTCAAAAAGCTAATCAATTTCTATTAGGTTCGTAATTTTCGGAAATTAAGTTTATAAAGTTTGAGATGCTCGATTGAACTCCAAAAACATAAGAGGCCAAAAGTGACAACGCTATCGTATCTTTCTTTCTTGGTACTAAAAACCGTGAAAATGATATAATAGGTTGTCAAATATCTCCCTTCCGCCTTTTTATATCATAAACCAAGAGCAAAAAAGCGGAAGGGAGATATTTGACAACCTAATATAATTGCTGTACGAGTTCACACATAAAACCGTTTATTATAAATGCGTATCACAAAGATGCAGTTTTAATAACATTCTTTCGTGATTTGTTTATATGTAATCACACAACAAGAAGATAGAAGTTTCATAGACTGCCAAGAAGTAAGCATAATATAGTGTTGCCATAACAACGTGTTAGGGGCCGTTCAAGTATTACGTAAGCACTATAGGAGGGCGATGGGGTTGTTGATTCGCTTATTCTGGTTTGACATGGAGGGCAGGGAGTCTGGATGACAATCACGTCATAGGTAGTATTTTTATTTTTTACATTAATTGCAAAATGTTTACGTAAGCATGGGGGTAGGGGGTAAGAGCTTTGCTTACTTTTGCTGACAAGGAGGATGGGGGGGTAAATAATTGTAATAAATCTGCTTACGTAATACTTGAACGATCCCTTACCGCAAAATTGGCAGCATAGGTTTTGGGCAATTTGTGACTACCTACTCAACAAAAGTGATCGGTATCATAACTTCGTCATTTTATACCAAGAGTTGGTGCCTAAATTTTGGTAATTTTATCATACCTCCGAGACCTCCGATTGGCAGCTCTCCACGCTCTTGGTCAACTCCTGAAGTTGCGACCTGATCTCGCAGAGGGCGACCGTCGTCTCGAGTTGCCGGTCGCCTCTCTGCAGCTCGTCCAGCTTCGCTGACAGATTCATACTCATCACTGTCACCTGCTTTTGCAGGCTGCACGGAAATAGAATTGATTAGAAAAATATAGGCTTTGAGTTTATAAAATGAGTTTTAAAAAAAAAATTAAAATTAATAACAAATAAATGTAGTAGTAAGTGTAAAAACAAATAGTGAAATTTGAAACATAGAATCAAAACTGTAAGCTGAAATAATGGTAACATGCAAATATAGCAACAAAAATATATAATTTTGCTTATATTCTATGAAGAAATTATACTATAAAAATATCAATTAAAAGGCTGAATGAAAATATTAATTAAAAAGTTAATATGTGGATCGACGATGGATCAAACCGAATTTGTTGAACTACTTGAGACAACGATATCGATCTGTAAATATATGTTTTTGAAACAGTACTTAGAAATACATAATTTATATAGAAAATTCAAATTTTTACGCCAGATAGCTTATGCTGAAAACTTGGCAAGACGTCAAAAATATGCCAACTTTACATTTTCAATTTGTGTTCTATTGATATTGAGATTGATTGATAGCCATAATATTTTAAAATATATGAAAATTCATCAAACTTCGATCAGTTAAAAGGTAGTAATAGAGTACCTAGAAATATGAAATGTAACAATTAAATATTTTTTGAAATGATATTGTTATGGTAGTACAGGTAAAGTCAAGATGGACCTGAAGCCAAATTTAATCAAACATCAAGATGCGATATTCATTAAAAAATTATCAACAAATCCGTAATATATCGTTAATTGTATCAATTATATATAAATTAAATAACTTATTCTAATAATAGGTTATAACAAAAGTAAAAAGACATTTGAAAAAAATCTGCTGATGAATATCCAATTACGTATTACCCAACGGTTGGGTTTATATTTTTTTCCTATTACTGAAATAATAAATATAGGAGTAACATATAAATTTGTATCAATATTGAAGCAACGCATAATTATTTTTACGTAAAAGTTAAAAAACAAAAAAGTGCAAATAATAAAACGACTTCTTTTAAGAAAAATCGTATAAGAAATATTCACTCGTTTCATAACTACTAACAATTTGCAGTATGCAAAGTCAAAATATCAAAATGCATTTAAAAAAGTTGTCATGCTTCATGCTTTTTAAACATTTGAATATTTAGCTATTATTAAAAATGCAAAGCAGTATTACATCATCTATCATTAAAAAAATTACGTGCACACAAAAACCAAGCAAAATTATTAATTTTCTCATCAAATTAAAAAAACGACTTAGATATGACTAATTTAAGTTTTTTATATTATATTATTTTATTCTTTGATTGGCTGCTTTTTCGTATTATGGCCAATATTTTTGTAAATATATATAATTTCAGGAATCTGTACAATGATAGGTATAGTAATCATGGTTTTGAATTGTTTTTTTATAACGACAGGCTAATATACTTTCCAATCGACGCATAATCTTAAGGCTTAGATAATCACATTGAATTACGAGTAAACAAATTGTTGCTAAATGCTTTTTTTCTCATTGCAAAAATAGTCATGTGATAATATTTTCACCTATATTATGTGATGAAATTTTATGAAAGTTGATACGTATTTAACAGTCACAATGTAATTTAGTAAAGAAACTAATTTCAACTTTTAGACTAATACTAGTAGCAATATGTTTTGTTTTCTTGAGAAATACAAACACACACAGAAAAGACATAAACACATTAATGCATTTTTAAGACAAAACCCACAATGCATACACGACACTTGGAAAACAACAAAAATGACAGAAATATCTTTAGACTTTGAAAATAAACACATAAAATCTATTATTTGATTTCTGATATTTGATTTTCAAAGCCAAGATTGAAAGCAAATGATGAAAATGCTAAAAAAGTAATTCTGGTAAAAGCTCATTGAGATTCAACTCTGATTTTTTGATAATTTTTATAAAAATACCAAGCCTTTACCAAATTTACAATATGATGAAATAAGTAAAAAGAAATCAACACCAGGATTGAGAATATGCTGAACATTCATGAAACACAAAGTTAACTTGAAATTGCAAAATCAGATATAGCGTTGAGTAGTAATTTAATAATCTTCAGCATACTTCAATTACTGAATAGTTCAAAAATAAGTATGAATGATTGAATGAACATGTACCTATACCTTGGAGGAATGGACACCATTTTTTGGCTGTGTTTGTAAACTAAAAGAGGCGTCCTTTCTAGACGCAATAATCACACATCACTTTTATCAATTGAATTTCAATCCACTTAATTGTCAATTTTATCAATAAATTTTGTCTTTCATAGTCACATGTACACTGTTTTTTTTTAGATTCAAAATTGTTTCTGATCAGTCACTCGTCACTGATTTATATATTTTTTTTGAAAAATAGTTTCTTGTTCCGATTCACGACAGAGTTGCCCTGATAATCGTCGGCGTTTGGCTTATCGACGCGATAGTCCGTTTCGTGAACCTATAGTTTAGAAACACAGCTTCAGTTTTGACTCAAAAATTCAAGAAATATGGGAAAACCGATATAGAAAAATTAAATAAATAATATAAAAATCATCAGAATGCGTAGATCTTAATAAACGAAATTTATAAAAAAAATTGAAACAGCAATTGTGATACTCTACATTTGATTCCAACTTTATATACCTGTAATTCCCATTGGGATACACAATAATCTTCTATTAGAATTGCAAATCTTAACTAAATAAATCAGTATTTTCTTCCTACACTTCTCTAATTAAAGATCACTATCTTATATATCACTATCTTTGCTATTCTTTTATTGTTTCATATGTAGAAAACATAGAGAACAGAGAGATACTACTTTACTCTGAATTAAAAATAACCAAAAGATTGTAATTTTTTATATTATATAAGATACCACCTGGACGTTCGATTTTACTATATTAGTGATAGTGTATAATTCAAGAAGAAATTTGTTCTAAACTAATTTTAACATTTACACTAATATTAGACTATTTTCCGAGTAGACTGATGAATACTATATAATTGAATGTGTTTTGTATACATTTTTTTAACGAGAGACAAAAATTCTAAACTACCTCACAATGATAAATTAATATATCATAATATAATGAATTATATCTTTAAATTCATCTTACCGTAATTATCAATGATTTTTATGAAAAAATTATAATTTTCAAACAACATTTGTGAAACTCTACATTGTGAACTTTGATTCCAACTTTATATACTTGCAGTTTTCATTAAGGTAAACAATAGTCTTCTATTAGAACTGCAAATCTAAACTAAATAAATCAGTATATTTATGATACACTTCTCTAGTTAGAAAAAATATTATCACTATCTTTGCTATTCTTTTATTTTTTCATATGTATAAAACATAGAGAAGAGAGAGACACTTCTCTACTCTGAATTAAAAATAACCAAAAGGTTGTAATTTTCCAAATTATATAAGATACCACCTGGAGAACAAGAGACGAAAATCCTAAACTAGCTCACAATAATAACTTAATATGCCATAATATAATAAATTATTTCTTATAAAATTGTCTTACAGTGATTATCAATGATTTTTATAAAAAGATTATAACTTTGAAACAGCAATTGTGAAACTCTACATTGTAAACTCTGATTCCAACATTATATACTTGCAGTTCTCATTAGGGTAAACAATAGTCTGCTTTTAGAATTTTATACCTTCAAACCTAACTAAATAAATTACTATATTTATCCTACATCTCAAATTAGAGACAATATTATAGCTTTTCTTGCTATTCTTTGATTGTTTCTCATGTAGATAATAGAGACTCGATTTTACTCTGAGTTAAAAATAAACAAAAGGCAATTTTTCAAATTATGTAAGATGAAAACAAAAATTTCAGATTGTATATTTAGCTTAGGTATTACGTGTTTTAGGATATCATATTCCCGATATAGGACAATTTTTTTAAGAATTGACACATTCAACTGCCTCATGTTAGTCCCTGAAGGTGCTAGTAAGAAATTTCTTTGGCTTACTTGATTATTACAAGAACCCTCGTGTTCTTTCTGGTAAAGGTTTCTAAAAATTCACTATGAATAATACAACTAATTTGTGACTCAGGTCAATTGCTAATAACTTAGTATATTAGTAGCTAAGTTATTACACATTATCAGATCATTACCGAAATTTAGAATTTTCAGTCTTATTATATTAAGATCTATGCATGCTGATAAAACCAAACAAAAAATCCTCCTCGTACATAATATCACTTTAGAAAAAATGATTTAAAACAGTGATAGTAAACAGCAGGGTGCCGGGAAACTCATGGGCTGATTAAAATAAACAGTGAATATATATGTACGGCATCAAAAGAAATTTTCCAGCGCGCTATAAATAGTACTATATTAAAAAAATATTCATAAAGAAAACATTTTCCAAGGCCTCGCGACATCCAGTATTTTGATTGTGTCGCAGAGGCCGCTAACAAACCACAGCATGAGAAGCACGTGACAACCACATCCTATTTTTAATAGAATTTATTAAATTCGGCCTTCTAGCATTTGTGAAATAATTAAAAATTTTATTTAATGTATGTTTCAAGTGTGTGACAAGAATTGTAATGTCTTAGGCACATGCGAATAAATGAATTTAAAGAAGTAAAATATACAAAGTATAAAAGAGCAGATTTGTCTTCTAGCAAACTTATGGTACATGTATGACCTACACGTATTTAAAAAAATAATTTAAAAAAAAAATGATAATTTTTAAATAAAAATAGTATAAGAATAATGTGATATAAATAATTATAAATTATTTTTTATTCAATTTTATTGGGAATAAAAGAAATCGAACGATTAAGAATTCATTGACTTTCATATTGTAGACAGTTGTTTTATTTAGTCAGTTTCAAAATACCTTAAATTACCTTAGGTCTTTTTCGTTCTTTGAAGATAATTTCTTTACTTTTTTATGCATTTAAATTTTTTTTAATATATTGAATAAGCAATTGCATCATTTTTATAACACATAAAAAATCAAGTAAAAAAAATTAACCTCAAAAGACTGTCCTAAGTAGTGATTTATAGTTTATTAAATGTTTAATTTTATTAGTTTTTGTTTAATGTTATATATTTGTAGTTTATATTAAGTGTTATGTATACATACAAAGCTATTTATGAACTCTTAATACTCTAATTTTCTCACATACTATCTCTTTAGTTTATAATTTGTACACTTCAAAATGTAACTATATTGTATTAATGCCTTGGGCGTTGAATAATTAAATAAATAAATAAATAAATAAAACATTTGTTATCAATACTGAAACAGTCTCATTAAAATTTTAACAGAAAACAAGGTGTTAGTTATATTAATCGTCCAAAAATCGAAAATGAAAATTTTTGCATATCTCCACGTTTCATAGGTTTCTGAACATTTTACCATACCTTAAAAAATTGATATATATGTGTGTGTGTAATTTTTCGTCGACGATTTCAAGAACACGGATTAACCGATTTGAATAATTCAGAAAACATTCGATTCCTATTATTAAGGAGATCTGTTGATTATTCTTAGTTAAAAATGTAAAAATTTTCAAACAAATTCCAAATTAAGTTAAAAAATGGATGTGTGTGTATGTGTGTATAGGTGTATGTAGTATGTTTTTTCAAAATTTTGCTCAAAATAGTAAAAGCACCACTCCAAAAATATTTATTAATCATTAATTAAAAAATAAGTAAATAATAATTATTAATAATAAATAAATTATTTCAAGCATTTTGAATATTTTTGTCAAAACATATAACAATCATTCTTCATAAGCGGTTAGTTTATGAATGAATAAATAAATATATAATAAATATATATAAAAAAATGTATGATCTATCAATTATAATAATAGCTAAATAAAAAAAAGTTCTGAAGTTAAATTTTAGAAAAAGCAATTGATCAGTAGATCGATTAAATCGTTCTAGTATTGATTACAATTTTTTATAAAACCAAATACAACTAAAATAAAATCAGAATACATTTTTGACAATAATATAAGTTAAAAAAAAGTAGACATTTAGTATAAAAATCGTCGGATTCTTCGATTGCTTCTATTTCCAATAAAACTAAAATACATGTAGGATACGTTAAAAAATCGATAAAACTGAAAATTTGAAAATAATTAATTAGCGAAGTCTGTTTTTCCCAAAATTTTGCTCCAAATGGTAAAGCACCTATCCAAAAATTTTTGCTTAAAATAATTTATTTCGCTTTTTTTAAAAAAAAATCCTACATGTGCCAAGGTAGTAACATAAAATCCTGCATGTGCCAAGGAAGTGAACACAAAATTTCTTATTATATTCTCTATCTTATCATAATGTAGTGTATTATGTCATACTAAAATATTTTTTTATTTCTTAAAAATAGGCCTGTAGTTGTCACATACTATTGCGCTATGCATTACCAAGTAGCAAGAAACAGTCGTCCAAAATTAAGAAATTTAATAAAAACTGCTGCTCTATATTAAAATGAATAGTATAAAAAATAAGCTTCATGTAGTCAAATGCGATGAAGTACCAAGACATTCTCAGACTCAACATTCTATGTTAAAATCATCAATTAATTATCTAAAAAGTCATAAAAGATATTGGTACTTCTATGTATCACGCGTTTATAATAAATATCTTGAGACTTTTCGACGCAGCTTATGCTCAGTAATTTAAATTTTAATCATAGAACCAGGAACGTGATATATCAACCTATCCAATTTAAACAAATATAATTAAATTTTCCATTTACTTACTAATTATTTTTTCAAACCTAAAATTAAAAGATTAATTTGCACATTGTGGTTTTTTGTTAAACTATGCTCTACGATGTAAAATCTCACACAACCCTTAGAGAAAAGATAAAACTGAGTATTACTTATGTTTTCGCACAAATGTTACGTCGAATTCGTTCAAGTAATATTTATTATGAAACGTCATACTATTTATGAATTCTGCATATCACATTATGTAGATTTTACAAGGCAGGCAAATGCGAAACAATATGAATATATAATGAGGGCAAAACATTCACAATATATATTTATATGAATAATGGTAGAGGAACATATACCTTATATTTCATTTTGTAAAGTATATAGGCACACAGGTATAATATACATACTTATTTGTATGTATATTACTTGTAATGCATATCAACATCAATCTTTTGATAGATTTTTTTATCAAACGATTAATAGTTGCCTTTTCAATCCTTAACTTTAATTTAATTTAAATTTTTGTAAACGATTATTTCTATACTCGAGAACATTATAGGGAATCCTAGAACTTAACATCAAGCTGGAAGTATTGACCCTAACTACCCTGAAAAAAATTAGAAAAAAATATATATCTCACGATGATTGGAAATTATGAGCTTTCAAGTGCAACCTTGAGCTTTAGTGAAATGATGACCATGTTTCGGTTACTGTGGTTAATTTTCATTCATTTTGATCATTTACCTTTAACAATAAGTGAAATTAATAAAACATTGGCCAAAGGTTTCAAGAATTTATAAGACTTTTCGTTGAACTATGAATTTAAATGTTTTAAAATCGATCGGCATTGAAAGATCCTTCTGTAAAGAAAAATGAACTAAAGCGTTAGCCAGATTCATCAAAAAGTTGGTGTATAATCAGGATTGTAAGATAGTATAATACTCGATCAATTTATTATTGAAAAATTTTGAGTAATAAATAAAAACCTAAGCTCTAAGATGCACCTAAATGCTCATGACTTTTAATACTCATGATAAATGAAATGATTTTTTTTAAATATTTTTTTTCTGGACAGTTAGGGTCAATACTATTATTTCATTTTGGCTTGACGTTAAGTTCTGGGACACCCTGTATAAAATAATGATGTAATATAAACTTATATATAATATAAAATTAAATGAAAGTATAAAACCACAATATTTCAACAATTTTTAAGTTTCTATCACAACGCATTTGATTTTAATTTTTTTTTAATTTGAAAAATTAAACTTACAAGTAAAATAAAAATGTTAAAAATTCGAGATAAGAAATACAAAAATCTAAAATAAAGAATTCCAAAATTAAAGATAAATATATCAAATTAAACATAGAATCTTTTAGAGCATTAACGTGTAATTAAAGAATTAAAAAAAAACAATCCCAAAATTGGTTTGTAGAAATTTCTACAGGTTAAAATTGGATTTAAGAAATTTATAAAAAAAATATTTGGAAAAGCTTGAATTAGATATTTGGGAAAACTAGAGTAGTATTTCAATTTATGTATTATATTTGATATGAAATAATAGTTTAAAAAGAATGTCTTTATATACATAAAAAATAAATAATTTACTATCTGGTTGTAAATATTTAAATCATTATTTATTATTTTTATTTGCGTGGTATTTCAATATCAAATATCGAAAACTTTTACTGAATAAAAAATAAATGCATAATTCATAGTGGATAATTACAAAAAAACCTAAAAAATTGCCAAATGCCGATGCCGATTAGCTTTCATAAAAATAAAAATAAAGCAAAAAATATTATTAAATAAACCAAAAACTTTAGAAATCTATTTATTTTTCTATGATTTGCTTTCAAAGAAATAAAAAAGTAAATAAACCAAAACATTTCAAGAAACCTATTAATTTTTCTGATTGCAAATGTTAAGAAACAAACGGTTTGTTAATGAGCAGACAATCTTTCATTAAAAAAAGCATAAACGAGCATTAAATTGCTCATCAGTCATGAAATGCTAATTGAAACATAAATAGTAAAAAGTTTAATAGATAAAAATGTAATAAATTAAAATAAAATAGAATTAATAAAATAAAATAGATAGAAATAAAATAAATTTTAATAAAAAGAAAAATGAATAAAAATAAAATAATTGAAAGAAATTATAATAAAAAAGGATAATGGATAAAAATAAGCTTATTGAAACATAAGTTATAATTGAAAGAATAAAAGATGAGAATAGAGTGATTGAAACAAATTATAATAAAAAAGATGTTAAGGAAAAAAATGCAACATAAATTAGAAAAAAACGGATAATAATGTTCCGAGTATAGAAATTTCAACCGACGACAACCTCGTATTTTCATCAATCGTAACCATCATAAATAATAATCAATGCTTTTAAATTATAAAAATCTATATATATATCTCGAAAGACTTACCTGACTAGCATCTCCCTGAGAGTGGCTTCATCGTCCTCGGCGGCTTCTTTCGCCTTCGCATCCCTTCTGGATCCTGTGGAGCCGCAGAAGTAACCGCACTCGTCCTCCTCGCCCGCCGACGCGTAATAACGAGAGCGCGGGGTGCGAGATCTGAGGAATTAATAATACATTTATAAGAATAAATATGGCATAAGAAAATTTTCTGCTGAAATTCAAGCCCTAAGGTCACATAAGTATTAAAAGATAAGTATTTTAATTCTTGGAAATACACAATGCCTCTACATTGCATACCAAAACTAACCCGAGAAATCTGACCAGGCGCTTCGCAAATTTTGATATTTCCTATATATGCTCTTTTTATTTTTACGTTTTATATGTTTATAATAATTATGTTTGTCTATATATATCTGTATGTCTGTCTATGTAATATTTTATGCATTCATAAATCGCCGTAAAAAGTTACGAAACTGTTATATATATCCCCGGATAGATTTTTGCAAACCTTAACCTAAACAAAGTATTAAGGGTTGGCAACACCAAAAATTTTCATTTTATTTTTTGATAATACATATATAAAGAACACATATAAACTCAATATTTCCACCGTCTTATCACAAACCCTTATTTTGTAATTATAGTGATTTCAAAATTTTTATTTCACATCTCACATTTCACATTCACGTGTTTGGCTGAATTTCGATTGAGAGCTTTTGAGCTTATGAAAAAGTTTAAATTGATAAAAAAATCCATTAATGGATGTTCAACTCTAATACCTAATTTTTAACGTATTAAAGCAATTTTATTGATTTTTTCTAAATTTTTATTTAAGTAAGATGTTTGTTCATTATGATTAACGATTATATTTAGATCGTTATTTTTACTTTTTTGTTCAACCTAACACCTAAACTGCATCGCATTGATTAAATAGTGTAATTATTACTATGTGAAATCTTTCAAGAGTTAAAATTAAAATAGTTTCTAGGAAATAATCTTTTTGACACCTGGCTCCCTTTTTAAACCAAAATTGGACAATTTTTTTATAGCAAAAATAGTAATACATATATATATATATATATATATATATATATATATATATTCTACAATGTAGAAGTTACTTGAATTTTACTGAATATAGATCGATAGTTGTTTGTTTGTTTCAAAAGTCTAAAAAACAAATTGAAGTTTTCTATACTCTAAAAAAATATCCTAACAAAAAGTAATAAATTGTAACATGTTCAAATTTAAAATGAAACATTGCTTTTGCTATTTTTTGAGATTTTTTTGCATGGTTTTTGCTGATATTATAAGATTGGTTGACTAATTTGAGATTTAGCTAATTTTACATGCTATCATTTTAAAAACATTGACAATCACTGTAAAAATTATATATGTGTAATTCCAAATTCAATATTTATACCAATTTTGCCTTAATCATAATTTCTCTTCCATTTTATCTCAATGTTAGTAGTTTTACTTCCTAGTACGACGAACAGAATCTACTACATGGAATTTTTTTTGTTAAGTTTTAAATTGAAATAAGAAAAAAAATCTGCTACAAAAACTATAGTATGTTAACTGATAAATTACGCGTACGATGTTGAACCTCAAAATAAAATGATATTTTGTAAGTGCACAATAAATGTTATTATATATAATAGTACTTGTCAATATAACTTGAGGTGCTTTGAAAAATGTATAGCAACCTACATTTTTTTAAAGATTGTCCACGTTATAATAAAAAATTACTACGAGTGATATAATTGCTAATTGAAATCAGCTAATTAACTAGCTTACAAAATTTCTGCCGCAACTGTATAAATACTAAATAACATTGCATTTAATATTAGTAAATATAATAAAAACAACAAGGAGTGTATGAACATTTACGAACTAGTGTTAATCTTTGATATGAGTGATATAATTCCTAATTGGAATAAGCTAATTATGTATGTAGCTTATTACATATCAACTACAACTGAAAAACACCAAATAACATTGTATAATTTAATATCAGTCAATATAATAAAAACAACAAGGAGTGTATGAACATTTACGAACTATATAGTGTTAATCTTTAACGAACGAGTGCATTACCTAAAATTATGCCAAGTTGGTCGACGGATTTTTAAGAAATTAAGTTCATAATTTATAAAGCGATAGAATTTGCATAATTATTATCACATTATTGGATTTGAATAGAATGGAATTTGACTGATATTGCTTTTAGACCAATATTCAAATTTATTTTCTAACTGCGTTGTGCTCATATTGAAAATTACAGAAAAAAAAGCCTAAAATTCTTCTTGGTACGTCATGCAGAGTATGTGGCGGCATTCGATCATTTTAGAATATTAGCCCCTTAACTTAAAATGACAATGAATTGCTAGACCAAAAGTGAATATTATGGGCATAGCCCGCGTACGATATTCGGGCCAGAAGCAAATATTACGCATTTCGGGCATAGCCGGTGTGGTGAACGCAAGTATTACAAAATATTTATTCAAACGAAACTATAAAACACAAAATTATTTATATTTTTGTGATAAACCGTGTACTATGAGAGAAAACAGACACAAACGCCACGCCAGCTTGAACAACTTTGGGCCGACATTTTCGAATCTAAATCGTATGTTAAGGGGTTAAAATATTAGAAAATAAAGTATGGCGACGCTCGTTCGTTAACAGTTAATATAACAAAAAATGGCTTAAAAAAATTTGATTTAGTTATATTAGTGTCATTGGATTTTATAGTGTAATTAATTCCCCACCTGGACCGTGGCGTAGACCGTTGCCTGCCGTTGGTTTGTGTCTGCTGGTCGCTGTGCGTCGACCTCACGGATCGCACCGATCTGGGCCTGCCGGTCAGCTTGAGCGTGGAACCGCCGCTGCCGCCCGCAACGTAGCCGCTCGAAGAGTGCTGCAACAACAGACCGCCGCTACCGCTGCCGGTGCCAAAACCACCATAGTCCGATCCCACAGACAGGCTAGATACGCCTAGGGCCAAGGCCGATGCGCGTCTGCCATCTGGAAAAATAATATTCCATATATTAAATTATATAAAGTTCACAATGTATAAAGTATTGTGGAAATTATACGATATTTAGTCCAGTCATTTGGTCGTTTTGCCGGTACAGTACTCCGGGAATTCTGAAAATTGGTAATCTTATAGATTTCGAGGTGCTCTTTACGAAAATCAACTTTGCCACCTCAAATTTGAACGACAAGTTGCCGCCATATTGGAAAAATTACTTAAAAAAACAGCTTTTTTAAAATATCTCCTTTCTGGCTCATTCTACGATAAAAGTATCTATGTACGAATTAAACTAGATAAAATTTCCTACAATTCTTTAGAAAACCGTTTTTTTGTAAAATTGATAGTTTGAGAGTACGGCCGCCTCAAAGTCTTTGCTGCTCTCGCCGTAGTATCAAATCTGTCCATATATGACAGCACTTCGAACTTAACCACATTCTCTCTAATAATTAATATTTTCAATGTTAAATTGAGCGAATAAAATGCAAAAATGCAATGAAAATGCGTTACGCCATTACTGATTCGTCATTGGCCACCGATGTGGTCATTCGAAGCTAGTTGATATGATTGGTCGATTTCCTCTTGTCAAGTGTATATGGTTACAACAGAAAATATTTTTCTATACAAGACAAATTTCACTGTAGTTTTTATTGCTACAGATATGTATATAGATTTATATTATATTATTTTATAATACAAATATTATAATATATATCCAGCGGATGAAGAAGAAGATGTACGTCAGCAATTCCATACAAAATCCGCTATTGACACGGGAGGGTTATTATAACAACTAATATTGACGTATAAGTGATCATTTAGTTCGTGCTTGTTCGTGTTATAAAATTAGTATGTATATAGATTTTATGGTAACGAGAAATAGAAATAAAATATAATAATATTTAATATAATAAAACCTAAAGGATTTGTTTCCTTCTTTAGTATGTGCTCGTGCACTGACAATACTTGAATCTCAAGAAAGTAACTTTGACCAGATAGTATATATAATATAAATGCAATAAAACTTATAATCAACTGCTTTTATATTATCTTTAGAGACGACTTATTAATCTTCTATAAACAAGAACAAAAAATTCGAACAGTAGTAATACTTTGGTAAACATTCAACCCGCAAGACTTTTAACATCAAACAAGTTTTGATGATATTTTACTTTTGTTGTCGCTGATCTTCAAGATAAAGCTATTTCAAAGTTGTACATTTGGATAAATATTGAACGAATTGATATTCAGAGCTATTACTATATTACTCTATGTGAGAAACATTAATATGAAACTATATTTAATATTATAAATTTATTCATCAGCAACTACCTAATTTTTCTAATAAAAATTTAAGTCTTTTACAATAAAATACCATTTGCTGGAGATTTCAATGCCAAGTTTTGTGCAGAAGAATCTCTATTATTGATCGATTTTTTCGAAAAACATTAATTTAACAAAGAATAATTATCCATTTTAGTCAACTATGAGGTATGGCATCCCGACTGATGCAGTTTTCTTAAGAAATTTAAACAATTTGCTAACTGAATTTATGTGTCTCGCTCCAGTTATCCCAAACCAATTATATCATATTTGTAGTATGATAGCAGTTGATTTTTAAAGTAAAACTTCTTTAGGCACGACTAGGGTGTAAATCCGTACAAATGCAACGGAAGTGTGTTACGGCAGATAAGATAAGATAAGAGTCGAGTGCCAATGATTTGTCATTCGCTCTCGATGATATCATTTCTATACGGGTCGATTGTCATTAGTCGTCGCGTATGTTATAGATCACTAGTATAGTGCTTGACATTAATAAATATGTTACTAGTATTACTGTATTACAAATAAACAATATTTTGAATTCTCATACGATGAGAATATTTTCAAGATTATTGTCATCTCATACAACAGCAAAAAGTCACGTGTGTACCTTACACTTAATTTTATTCCATTAATTATAAGTAGCACAATATAGTTATGATGATATTTAGTAAGATATAATAAAGCTTTTATTATAAAAAATGTTACCATTAAATTTTGAACAATATCGTTGCATAGTGTTGTATCATCTCCGATCATGTGGCAATATTATTGCAACATTGAGCTTGCAATTACCGCAAAATCTAAATCTGCTCTATGTAAACCTCTACTGCTCTATGTAAATTCAAACACATCCAAAATGATACTCAGCAATATCTGCAACTGATATCGTTGCATGTCGCCACATGTGAACCAGTAAAGCAATTCTGATAAAGAAATAAACACGTAATTACCATCGCAATTTCATGATAAATTCATGCAAATTTCCGGTCAGTAGTGTTGCGACAACGGCGGAGCTTTAAATGCAACGCGGCGCGGTTATCATGCATAAAGAGCTTTCGAGCTTTCGTTCGAAATTTGCATCGTTTATCTTGCACAGGATTCGGGACGATTCGGTAGCTTATGGAGGCAGTAAATAGGTATAATACTGCTAGGGTGAGTGAATCAGTTTTGCTTAACATCAATTTATATTATGTTTGGCAATATTGCCATTATGATGTCAGAGATCCTAGGTGGACAATGTTACACTAACTCGGATTTTTTTTGGGTAACTTAACTCTCCGAAGTAGAATTTTGTATTACTCAGCAAATTCTAATTTCTAATTTCGTTTTCTTGACGTTTTCATTTTATATTTTTATTACATCACATTTTAAATTTTATTTCATATTTTCTATATATTTATACTAATTCCACTTTCATGTAATCTTTTACTATAATTTAAGCAGCATTCTCTTATACCTCTCGTGTCTTCTCAGATCCGTAACTCTTTGTAGATTTTCCTTCCGAGATTTCTCCGTAATGTGTGTATCTTTCTCATTGCAACGTCAAACAGTTTTACTTTATATTTTCTATTTTATCTATTTTATGCTCGAATATAGCGATCGTGAGGGATGCAATCGCATATAATAAAAATGGTATCTAATGATTTCATTGTTGTAGCGCCGGCGAGCTCAGAGTTCGTATGAGGGATGCATAAAACATGCGATACATATCGCACTGTATGTACTGCGAAACATGCTACATGGGCAGATATGGTGTATATGGTGCCCATGTACAGGGTTTAGAAACCAGAGATAATTTGTACATGGTCCAAACAACTTGAACTACAACTGTTTTATATTCTGATGCTTTAGGTGACCAAAGATTCTAATTCTGAAGCATACAATTTCCTTGCAGGCTTATGATAATTTGTACATTAACCTGGAAGCACTTGTTCATGTTAGTACTGGAAAGTGTTCTATCTATCCATAAATTTATATGTATAGTGAAACACGATTTCATTATTACTAGTTTTGCTAGTTAGGTGTGCTTTTTAGATTCACACTCAAACCAAAAACTCTAATTTATCGACATTATTTTATTTTTAATAGCAGACTTATTCTGTGTTAGTTTTGCAGTTTTCTTCACTATTGGTATTAGAGCACAATTTGCTCCAAGTCTTAACCATTATTTTGGCCATCACCAGCTAAAAAAACTCAGTGGAGAGTGGATTTAAAGATAATAAAAAATTAGAAACTTATCACCCTGCGGGTAATTTTATGTCAGATGAGAATCTTTGTATGAAAAATCGAGATTGTTTTTTAAATTAAAGATTATTTTCTCTGTCAAAATTTAGAATCATTTGCTCGAAGACTAACCTGAAGCGCCAGCAGCTTGAATTAACACGTGGGCAACTTAATTGGTTAATGGGCTGGAAATCACAAGTCACAATAGAAAATAAACTCCTAATATACAAGACAATTATTAAACCAATATGGGCCTACAGCCTACAACTATGGGGTGCGGCCAGTAAATCCAACATAACTTTTCTACAAAGGTTCTAAAATAAAATGTTGAAAGAAATCGTAAACGTTCCTAATTGGTTGATACATCAAGATCTCAGAATTGGAACTACAAAAGAAAAAATTAGTCTCTACTGCACCAGGTACAAAGCTCGTCTAAGTCGTCATCCAAACGAATTAGCGATAGATCTGCTCAAGCCTTTACCACCAAAGCGTCTCAAAAAAAAGAATCCGCAATGATTTACTACAAAATATTATATAACATCTAAGAAGGTGCTATCGCAGGATAGCGATCCTTCTCACGAAGTCAAATAATATATACTTCCAACCTACCATATATATTCCAACAACATATAGCTGATGTACTTTGTATAGTTTGCTATGAAAAAAAAAAGCACGAAATTTTGCAAACTAGTTTTGACTCTGGAATAGTTACAATCAAACTCATTGCTCATCTGTCTCGAATACCGTTCAAATTTTTTTTATAGTGAAAAAGAAAAATGTTCGACTTATTGCTCTACATAATTTTATTTTAAACATCAATCACAATCTACTACTCGAAATCGATTAAAGTTTTTCACACACGTTTAATATATCAGTTCTGAAGACGTATAATGGTTTATACTGTCTGTTACATGATTGGTGCAAAAGTTTGTAATAAAATTTTGGTTTCTTCTGAATTTAATTGAACTGAAGAAGATATGAGTTAACCAAAATGTATTGCTTGATGTATTGATATGATAACCAAATGTATTGCTTCCTACAAAATAAACCACAAGCTTTAGTACAAAATAAACCACAAGCTTTAGTACATAATATAATAAAACTTCTAAAATAGTTTTGTTCCTAAAAATTTGTTGACAACTTTTGTGGGTTAATTGCTATTTGTAGTGGATATTAAAAGTAATTATTAACAAATCCTTTAATATTTTTATGGAAATTATTTGGTATTGTTTTGTGACAATTTAGTTCACTTTGCATCAAGATCGTACAATAAAAAATATAAATATAGCAATCATTTTATCCTATTCTCCTGATAAATAGAATTACAAGAATTGAAAATAATTACCATTAGTTATTGGAATCATTTTTTGTTTATAAATCTGTTCGAAGCTTCTCAGTTCAGTGTTCTCAGTTTGTTCTAAAATAATTTATGTTTATTTTACGAAAATCTTTTTCATTTTACATCCAACTTTGCCGTCTCATGGAAGTAAGTCCCTTGATAGTCATTTCGCTGGATGCAATATGTTCAAATCGACTTCTGTTTCTTCGATAGAAAAACCGTTGAATTAAATATGAATCATCTAGAGTCGTATCGTATAGAGATTTCCGAATAAAAAAGCATGTGGTTTTTGATAAATGTTGCATTGGATTTCTAATTAATCCTATAAATGACGAACAGATCTCACAGTGCTAATTATTTTTAGATAAAAGTCATCGTCTGTTTTGATAATTATAGAGAAAAAAGATCCAATTCGAATTTGAGTAATTATATTGTGGAAACCGAACCAATAATGTCACAATAACATTTATCAAATAAACAACTATTTGACTATGTTCAGTAAAAATCCTAGCTAAATACGCCATTGTAAAAATGTGTTTTTTGTTTGCTGATAGCGAGTTCTTAAAAATCAAAGTGATGGTTTGGTTGGTTTTTATAGAATTTTTGACGACTTTAGTTGAGATTATGATTTTTGTTAAAATATATACACTATTTGTAGTTATACCTAGAGTTATTTTTAGTCTATCCAAAATAAAATATGAAACTAAATAGTTTGACGTTGCAATAAGAAAGACTACAGACTTCTCCAAGAAATCTCAGAAGGAACATCTTCAAAGAACTCTAAGGAAACATAGGAGATGTACACAAAGGTACAATAGAATGCAGTATGAAATATTGAATTTATGTATTTTGTAAAACAGAATCAAATATCACTTGAAATAGTATAAATTTGCAATGACTAACATTGATAAGTGATTAAGACAAATGTGCAAACGTTTGATCAACTATTAATATCAAAAATTCTTTGATTACCAACAAATAAATAAATTGTTTTAGAAAATGTTTTGAAAAGAAATTCTGCAAGAAAACTCTACAACAACCTGGAGAACACAACTTTAGGACAATATTGGAAATCAATTTCAAACAAGATGCAAAATTCATATTTGAGAATTAGAAGTTTAGGAGTTTTAATGAAGTAATAGGTTTTAGCTAGGAGTTTTCTAATTTTACTTACATCAATGCAATTATTTCGAAAAATGCATGCCGCAAAAAGATAAGCAAATATGGGTAATAACAGATGTAGGGACATCTTTTACAAATTGAGCTAATTTGTGTCACTAAGTTGTTTACAAATTGGCACAATTCTCCTCATCCAACATAATTCAAAATAATCCCTTTCAAAGAATATTTCACATTAAATAAAAGTCCACATCCTTAAACCCAAATCTCATTGTATGCATTTCAGTAAGGGGTTTTCATCGCAAATGCGACCAGTATCAATGTATGCATAAAAGAGGATTATTGAAGACGGACGACCGAATGAATTCCAAGCAAAATACATTGGATTCACAAGCACTCTATGCAGTCGATACAAACTGCATAAATCAGATAGGAAATTCGGGAAAAAGGTACAAAAAATAAACAAAATGGAAATTCATACAATTTTCCACGCCCATTACGCTTATCGAGATTACTTCGGAAAAACCATCGACAATGTATTCATTGTGGTGATCCGGTCATTGGAAAGCACTCGTTATGGGAAAGTGGATGGAAAATGTACTTGTGACAAAAAATTATCGGTAGCTGTTTTTAGTTGGATTAACATCTATGGTATAATAGATACACGCACTTGATTCGAATGTCGCATAAATGGATTACTGATACCGCAATTTTCACAGAGAAAATTTTTATGTTGATCTGTAATCATTAATTTCATAAAATGGCACTAAAAGTAGTAATAATTTTTTTATAAATTCATCTCTACATTCATTCATCTCTATTGTATAAAATTTTTCGTCAACAATTTCGAGAGAACAGATTAACCAAATTGAAAAATTTAAAAAACATTCGATTACTATAGATGGGAAGACGTGTTAATTAGTTTTTCGCAAAGACAGTTCCAACTGTTTCAAAGATACAAGGCAAAGAGTGCTAAAAATGTCTATTCCGTTTTTGATAATACGGAGCATCCGATTAGAATGATTCAAAAAGCGTCATACTAATATTGACAGAGTAAAGATTCATTTTCTGGAAAATGCAGGTCCAGTGGTTTTGTAGATGCAAAATAAAAGCTCCAAAAACTGTCATTTGGTGAGAAGATGTATTGATTAGTTTCTGGCAAAGACAAGTCCAGTCGTTTCAAATATACAGGGTAAAAAGTGCAAATAATGCCAATTCCGTTTTTGAGAGAACGGAGTATCCGATTAGAATGATTCATAAAGCGTTATAATAATATTGATAGAGTGAAGTTTCATTTTTGGTAGGGCAGGTCCATTGGATTTGGAGATGAAGAAGCAAAGCTCCAAAAACTGACATTTGATGAGAAGATGTATATATTTGTTTTTGGCAACGACAAGTCCAACTGTTTCAAAGATACAGAGCAAAAAAGCAAAAACTACCAGCTCAATTTTTAAGAGAACGGAGTATCCGATTAGAATGATTCATAAAGCGTTATACTAATATTGACGGAATGTAGATTGTGATTTGGTAAAGCATGTCCAGTGGTTTTGGAGATGCAGGAAAAAACTTCCAAAAACGGACATGTGGTAGTCAAAAATGATCATTAGACATAAGCACATCAAATTATCAGATATTTTATAGTATACAATTTTATTTTCATTTCTATATTGATTCTCGTACTAATAATTATATTATATAGAATTGCAAAACGTCGCCTAATTTATAAAAATATTGGCGTAAACAGTCGCCTAATTTATAAATATTGCTCTTAAATTTTGTATGCAAAGTACGAATGATGAACGTTACAGTATTTATAATAATATATTTGGAAGTATTTAAAACTATTTTGGAAATATTATTTATTAATTGTTGATAAGTTTCTAATAGATTATTGATTATTTTTATTCCTCAAATGTTTAATTGCGGTACAGGAAGTTCTAGCAGTCATGGCAATGCAATTCAGTAGTTATTTATGTTATGGAGAAAGTTTGGAAATGCGGAATAAATATTTATGTTATGGATCGATGACCAAAAATAGAAACAGTTTCAAATTGACCTTTCAGAGTTTTCGAAAATGATTTATTTCTACCACTCACCTTGTAAATCTGATACTATGAGCGGATAGATCTGAGCAGCGGACAAGCAAAGTCCCAAATCGCTGAAGTGCAGAGGCACTGGTGAAGCAGGTCGAGTCTGAGTGCCGTGGCTGATCGAATGAGTAGAATGGTGAGCAGAAGGCTGAGAATGAGGCGGAGGCTGGTGCGCCGTCTGCTGCGTTTGTCTACTCAGTACGGTGCGATGATCCAGCGGTGATTCAGGCTGAGATTCGGACGACTCGTGCCTGTGAGATCGATGATTGCCTGAAACCAGGATAATATTCTATATATATAAATATAAGTCGGGTTTTCCTTCCTGACGAAATAACTCCAGAACGCACGAACTGATTTCGACAATTTTGCATTCGTTGGAAACGTCTCGGGCTCCGCAAGGTTTATATCTAAGAAAATTAGTTGTGCATGGCATAGTGCCTTAATGCAAGCAGCTGGAACTTCACGCACGTAATTAAAAATTCGAGTAATGACATTAGTGAGAATTATCAGAATTATCCTTGGTTAAGTCAACGAGCAATTCTTGCCGCAAAGATTAATGATGTACACGCACTGAATTTCACCATTCAATCAAAAATTGCTGGCGATTTGGAGACATACCAATGATTCCGACTGGTCTTCCATTTGACTTCAAACGATAGCAATTTCCAGTTCGCCTGGCGTTCGCAATAAGAAGTCTCAAGGCCAATCGCTTAGGGTTTGCGGGATAAATTTAAAATAGATTATATAGAAAATCATTGTTTTTCACATGGGCAGTTATACGTTGCCTGTTCACGAGTTGGAAAACAATACGCTTTGTTTATGTTAACGTCAGACCAAAATACAAAAAATGTGGTTTACCAAAGAGCACTTCAATGAAACGGATAATTTGCGGATTCACTTTCATTTACTAAAGTTCAACTAAAGAACACTTCATTTTTGTAATCGAAATAAATTCATTACTGTTGTATGATAAAATCAAATTTTTCCTTTTCAAATATGAAACAAACAAAAAATTTCTTCATCTTTCTCACTAAACATCTGGTGGCGAAACAGAGTTCGTCGGGTTTGCTAGTAGATTTATAATACTATACTTGACTTTTTCATATTTCCTTTATCTCACCTGAATGGAAATGATTAGAGGCCGTTTGCGATGACGTGGCGATGTGGTGATCGTGTTGCGTACTCGTCGTGCGATGATGATGTGGCTGCTGATGTTGATGGTGCTGTTGATGTTGATGGTGCGTCGAAAGGCGTCGGCTCATCGGCGTCTCCCTGACGCGATCGCGTTCGATGGGATCCGACGGGGAACGGTGCAACAGGTGACGTCGGTCCAGGTGCTCGTCGGCTGCGTGCCAGAACTGCGACTCTTCTTCGACAAGGTCGTGCTGGGAAAAAGATAGAACAAACATAGAAATTAAATTTGTTTGAATTTGTTTTTTCATGTAACTATTGGTGTCATCCCAATAAATAAGTGGTTAAGTTGATTCAATGGATGAGCGCTTTAGTCCATTTTTGCTACTTCTCAGAGGATAGATTATAAGGTTTACATGTTTGTCAGAAGATCTTGATTATTGTTGATTGTTATATCTAATTAGCCATATCAACTGGACCCTATTCCTTCTCTTTCCTATTTGATATTTCGTGACTCATCTAGTTGACTTTGGATAGAGAATTCAGACTCCGACGATCGTTGGTATGGCAGTAAAAGGAACGACTTGTGACGGATAACACATAATGCTAATTTAGATTTCTATAATTTAGATTTTAAATTATAACACACTGATGATGAGACAAACCTAGTCTCGAAACGTTTGTAAAATTATTATTTAATAAATTAGTGCAAAAAAAGTATTCTTTGTTCATATTTCTGAATTAATATCTATCTATATATGTGTATATATATATATATATGTATATATATATATATATATATATATATGATTTAGTAGTTAATTTTGAGGTTGAAACATATGAGAGTTCTTGAGGGCGATACATCAAACAAAGAAAAGGCAAAGATTTATAAAATAATCTTTAATTCCAAACGTTTCGACATTCAATTTAATGTCATCATCAGTGGATAGTGAACAAACAAAATTTTGCACTAACATTGATATATTTAACCAGTCGATAATTATGATTTTTATAATAAGAAAAATAATGAGAGGCTTGTTTTGCAAAACTGTGGAATTTTTTTTTAAAGTATTTTGGCACAGACCAGAAGCTATGTAATCGCTGCAGATTCCGAGGCAAAAATAAGACTTTTTTTATTGTCTAGATTGTAATTCAATTTACATAGGAGAAACAAGCCAGAACTTGATGAAACGTTTACAACAACATAAAAACTATTAAAAAAATCCAAGACAGTTTAAAACTATGATAGCAGAGCATATTTATACTTTAAAACACAATACGGATTTTTTTAACCCGACTGTACTACAATTCGAATAAATTTATTCAAACTAAGAATTATAGAAGAATCTTTTTTGACTATTTACAGAAATAAAACAATAAATAAAGGGAATTGCCTTAACACGCTGTGCGACACAAACCTCTTTCATTTAGATAGTATTTCCAAATTTCTCACAAAACAATAAAAACGACGCGCAAAGGATTCGCAATTCGTTCCACACATGTGTAGAATCTTGGCAAAAAATATTTTTTAAAAAGTTCTTTCTCCATTATATCTTCAACCAGTCTACGAACAACACACTATCCAATTGTGATTTTTTTTAAATTAGTATTTTGTGAAAATATTGTGTAATTACAAGTTTAATATTTATAATACCTAGTGCCAGTGCATTACCATATCCTGATGCCATGGATTATTAAAATTTTCCAATTTAACACTAAGATTAACTAATTGTAAATACTTTTACTATTTTATTTTGTCTTTTCACTCCAATTCAATTGTTTTAGTTTTTAATTTTATTTTTAGTTTTCACTGAATGAAGCCTAGGATTATAGCCGAAAAGTATGGATTTAAAATAAATTTTTGAAAGAAATTCATGTTTTTTATTGATGTTATGCCCTATTACTAGACTTTGTTAATAAATAAATATATATATATATATATATATATATATATATATACATATATATATACAAACTATGACCTTATTACCTGATAAGAAACTGGTTGCGCGCTATGAGGACGTTGCTCTTCCGGTTCTTCCGGCTGAAGGAGGTGCTGCGGACGATGGTTGAGGTGCTCGCTGTGTCGCTGTCGACCTTTGTCGGATGACCGTCTCGAGGCCATGACACCACGGACAGCTGATGAGGAGGCATTGACAAAATTTTGCTTTGGTTTCGGATTAAACGTTTCTCGATGGTTACGTTAACACTCTTTGAGTAATCACAAATCAGAAGCAAAACGTGCAAAATAAAAGCAGGTGAAGTAAAAACATTATATATAAATCATAATAATAAATGTAAAGTATATGATAAGGTGTATGGGGATACCCAGTGACATCAAAAAAATTGTCAGAAAATAAAGTAAAAAAGAAATAGAACTTTATGTATGATGTATTTGTCAAAATTCCCACATTTAAAATTGTTCTAGATAAAAATGCAGTATCAAAAATATATATTAAAGATGAATATTAGTGTATATAAAATATAAAAAAAATGGAACTTTTTGTATAATACATTTGTCAAAATTCCCCCATTTGAAATTGTTCTAGATGAAAATGCAATATCAAGAATATATTTAAGAAGAATTGGTGTATCAAGTTGAATAGTTAAAGTTCATTCATTGATCGATTTTTGTTGTATAGGTGAACATAATAGTATTGTTGATCAGTCTGTAATATGCAATTTGTGAATAGTTTTTAACAACTAACTATTGTGCAAAAATATTGCAAGGAAGATTAGAGCAAGTTATCTACAAGAAATGCAGAAATGTTACAATTGCATTAACTTAACGTATATTTGAGGACCTTAGGTTATCACTATGTGACTCAAAAAGATATTTGATTTTTTTAAGTAAAACTTCTTTAGGCGCGACTAGAGTGTTAATCCGTACAAATGCAACGGAAGTGCGTTACGGCAGATAAGATAAGATAAGAGTCGAGTGCCACTGATTCGTCATTCGCTCTCGACAATATCATTTCTATACGGGTCAATTGTGATTAGTCGTCGCGTATGTGAATAGAGATCTGTCGTTCTATGCGTACCGGCACCAACGTTGTATGCGTATCGATATCAACAAGGAAATCGGTATTTTATGTATGAAAGTTTCAAATGATTAGAATAGTTAATCTCATAAAACTATTTTTTTTTCTTTCCTAAAATAACTTATTCGTGTACCTTATATAAAAAAGTTTCAAATTATTAGAAAAATTAATGTCCTAAAACCATGTTGTTCTAAAATGATAAGAAAGATGTCACTGGGTACTAAAAAGTAATTTGTTTTCGAGTGAAAATAAATTTATAAAATATACATACCTAAGTTGCATTTTCTAAACACCTATTCATTGGCACTAAACACATGCACTAAACAATACAATTTTAAAGTGGAAGTTTATGTATAAAATGACAAAAAATGGCAATAAATTGTAATTAAAATGTTCATTTTAATTCCAACGCTGATGTTCGTATGAAATGTAATAACATTTTTTCATAAGAAATTTATAAATCAGTATGTTTTTTTATACTAAATGCATTTACAAGCACATAAAAATCTTAAAATATCACATTTCAAATATGCTATTAAAGAAAATAAAATTAAAAAAATGAAATATATAATAAACAACATACCTGAATACAAGCCATGTCGGCGGTGAACAAAGATTCAGTGATCTTCAGCTGGCAGCTAAACTGTTTGCGCCACCTGGAAAAAAGATACAGGTGAAAATTACACAATATGAAAAACTAATATATTAAGTTAATTTATTCTTTACTATATCGCATATAATAACATAACAAATATGTTATTAGGCTATTCACATCCTAAAATAAAAATCCAAAAAAAGGAAAATTGAAAAGAATATCGTGCTCGATGACATCCAATTATTTTCGCAAATTTTAAAAATATCGTTATAAATTAATATAAATATATCTTAAAATGTGTATATGTTTATAAGAAATGCATTCGACTGATATGAAGTAAAGTGGAACTTGTGTTTCTGGATTTTCTACAGCTATATCATTTTTGTAAAATAAATTATTTTATGTGTATTTTGCTCTTTGGAGACATTATCAAATGAAGAAAAATTTTACACAAAAATTACTTATTCATTGAAAAATACTGGTACATCTACACTGCGAATTATTTTTTTGTTCCATGAACACTTCAATCAATTATACAAAGTCATTTTTGTAGACGACCCCGTAGGAGGGATAATATGGGACAACCACGAGTCACACAGATCTAATGTACTTATATCTTTCACCCTGTACTTTCAAATGTCGTTAATAAAAATTTCTAACTTTGCTTATTTTTGAGATAGTGAGATAGTGGTGGTAGAGCCTTTCCCATAGCCCTTCAAGCTCCTCTTCACCCTCAATGCATATATTCCTTAAAATAAGTTAAACATCTCGATACAAAATTAACAAATCATCTATCTACTACCATCGCAATCGTTTAAAATCAAAATAAACAAACAATTTTCTAATTACAATTGTGTGTTCTTGCAGAGACATCGTGCTTGCATATGGTATTTAATTTATGTCGTTTTGCCGGCGTGATTTATATCGCATTTATTATTCTGCAAAGACATTTTGGTACAATCCACTCGACAACATAACGTTGGCAAGACAAATAGTTTACCGAGAGCAACAGAAGAAAACTTTTAGATAATTTATTCTATTCAAACAAACGAGACTTGACGTGACTTGGACAGTTATGAAGATCCAAGTTGGAGAAGGCGAAGTATTTGCATAAGGGATTCAGTGCTTGCTTCTTTCAATTGCAGAAGGAAAGTACTGATTTTTGTATCTATTTTAGTTGTCTACATATTTATATTTATTTCTTATGTTGTTTGTACATTGATCTCTATCTTGTTATTGTCTGTATATTTATCTCTATTTTGGTGTTGACTGTGAATTTATCTCCATTTTGTTGATGTCTGTATACTTACCTCCATTTTGTTGATGTCTGTATATTTATCTCCGTTTCCTTGTTGTCTGTATATTTATATCCGTTTCCTTGTTGTCTGTATATATATATATATCTGTTTCCTTGTTGTCTGTATATTTATCTCCGTTTTCTTGTTGTCTGTATATTTATCTCCGTTTCCTTGTTGTCTGTATATTTATCTCCTTTTCCTTATTATCAACACATTTATCTCCGTTTCCTTATTGTCAACACATTTATCTCCGTTTCCTTGCTGCCTGTATATTTATCTCGGTTTCCTTGCTGTCTGTATATTTATCTCTGTTTTGTTGTTGTCTGTATATTTATTTCCGTTTCCTCGTTGTCTACATATTTATCTCCGTTTCCTTGTCATCTATATATTTATCTCCGTTTCCTGGTTGTCTATATATTTATCTCCGTTTCCTTGTTGTCTGTATATTTATTCCTGTTTTGCTGTTGTCTGTAAATTCATTTTCTTTCTATTGTTGTCTGTATATTCATATCTATTTTTATAGTCTGTATATTCACATCAATTTTTTGTTTTTTTTTGCTTGAAAATTATGAGCTTTAAAGTGCAACTTGAAGCATTTTTCCGTTATTGTTGTAAACTTTTATTAATTATATTCATTAAAAATTTGAATCCTTGACTGTGACAATATCTCTGAGACCACAGTATGAAATATCACAATTGCTCCACGAAATAAGAAATTTTAAAAACCGTTCGATTTTGAGACGCAGTCCTTTTCAAAATGTGTACCAAAGTATGTTGATAAGTTTCATCAAAAGTTGACACATTTAATCCAGATTAAAAAATAATAAAATGCTTGATTTCATTATTGAAAAATTTGAATAAAAAAAATAAAAGTCTAAAGATTATCATAATCGCTAAAGTACTGATATCCTTTTGTTTCGCATTAGATCTTGATAGAGTCCTAATTTGACTTTATAAGTGATGAGAGAGATAGATGGTAGACATATTGTCAAAGATTAAGCAAAGCAGCTACTAACGCCACTTTTACCAAAATCATCTAAAATAAGTAAATTTAATAAAGAAATGAGAGTAGTTCAATCAAATTTCACGACCTGTGTTATGTCTAAAATATTAGCATTTAGTGCAAATGTTAATTTGGTATTTTTTTAATGGTTTTGGGATGAATAAAATATTTTTTCCCTTCAGTCTCGTGCACAAAATCAAATCTTGAATCAGTCATATTCTCCTGACTTAAACCTCCGTTCACGTGCCGCCAAAATATTCAGAGAGTATTACGAACGCCCGCCAAGCATTTTAACAAATTTAATTTAATCCCCATCTTCGGAAGCTAATTAAACCCTATCCGCCGCAGTGAGCTCCGGCTCGGAGATTCTGATAATTAAATTCAATTGTGTGGACTTAATACCCACGGCCGAGTTTTCTTTGATGCAAAAACATCATCAAAAGTTAGAACGGAGACATCAAACATTATTGTCAAAAGCTTCTCTCTATAGCCTGTATACCTGTCTCGAATTCGCAAAGTAAACGGCAGACGCCAAAAGAATTCAATGACGCAAACAAGAAAACACCAATTTGTCGGAAAAGTCAACTGAGTCGATGTTGGCGGCACGAATTCTTCGAGGGCGGACGAATGAGCAGTATATTTAGTAGACGATGAGGAGAATTGGTAGTCAACTAGAATTTCGATTGTAGATTTGTCATTCATTAGCATGGAGCAAATTAAATTGGAAACTATAACAAAACCATTGACAACCTTATAATCAACGCTATATATTTTTCTCCTCCGATAAATAGCATTTTTCATAGTAAATAAGTCCTCTTCCTCGAGAAGAGCTGGAAATTGCCAAAGTCGTTTTAACATAATTATCGGAAGGCGGCACGACCGCGAATAAATAAAGATTGAAGCGGTGAAGTAATAACTAAAAATGCAAATGAATCAATAAGTAATATTGACTCATTAATATTCAAGTCACGTTATTCAACCACCAGAACAATATTATATTTCCCATTTATGCATAACTTAAACATGCTTTGTTTGATCAGCAAATTAATATTTTTCTGAAACAAGGAGAGATTTTTCTGATTCAATTTTAATTAAGTTTTATTATTGAGACCGTCTCATAAAATATGGAGGAAAAAACCTATGTATATAAGCACATTTATACAGGGTGTCCTAGAACTTAAACGTTGAGCCAAAACGAAAAAGATGAAAATTAGAAAGTTTTTTTTGGAGTAAAACTTTTTTAGGCGCGACACGGGTGTAAATCTGTACAAATGCAACGGAATTTAGTTACGACAAGGTCGAGTGCCAATGATTCATCATTCGCTCTCGGCGATATCGTTCTATACGGGTCGATTGTCATTAGTCGTCGCGTCTGTGAATAGAGATCTGTCGTTGTATGCGTATCGGCGTCAACGTTGTATGCGTACCGATATCAATAAGGAAATCGGCATAGATAAATGAACATTTTAAAGTCTTAATTTAATGAAAAATGCCGGAATCAGAAGAATATTTTACCCTGTACCTTGAAAATAATAAAACGTAAAATGATAAACGTAAGTTTATTGATTAGAAATTCTTTTTGTATTAATCGTAGTTTGTATAGATCTTTAAAGTTATTAAAATGGAAAATATTTTTAGGCAAGGCAGAAATTAGAGCTGTTCAAAAAATGAGATTATATCGCCAGCGAAAAAGTAAAAAGATACCATCAGTCAATGAATGTATGTTAATTTTATATACATGAAGTTCTTCAAACACAATTATTACATGAGTGAAGTTGCAAAAACAATATTTGTTCAGACGTTGTTTAACATAATCCACTGTGTAAACGAATATTATAGAATTTATTAATCAGCAATTACACTTTTTCTCTAATGAAGGTTAATTTCTTAATGCTAATTACAATGACAAACCGATCATGTCATATTTGAAGTATGACTTTAATTACATTATTGTTTTTAAATATTATACATATTTTCAGTGCTATTATAAATATATAATTTATAATTTATCATTATATAAATGTGTATAATGATTGACACTGGTAAATAAATGGTGCATCACGAGTGTTACCATATTACTACTAAACATTATTCAAAATTGTTATACGATGTATTTATTTTTGCTTAAATGCCACCTTGTACAGTAGCAAATAAGTTTTACTTCAATCTCGTGTGAACCTTACGCGCACTCTTTTTTATGTATCTTTAACAATAATCAGAACGTAACAAGCCAACTGCCAACTTTTGAACGACGAGGTTCTTTTATAGGCTCAATTGGTTGTCTCATCTCCATGTGATGAATTCATTATTATAATTTCCGTGGTAGTGATGATTTATTATTAAATCAGAAAGCTTATTTTCACTTGGAAACATATTGCTACTTATATTTCCAAGTGAAAATGAACATCATTAGAATGTCCAAGCTTTAACCACTAATCTATGGAAGAGCCTTATATCAAACCTAATATCGCATTTTGTAATATCAGTGTAAGTTTATATTATTTATCAGCGACTTTAGCCCTGCACCCGCATAAATATAGAAATATCATCCCTTAACTAAGTTGGCTGGGCCGAGTGGTTGCATCTAAAATGCACTTTACTTCCTAAGAGGCCATGCATTCGCATTCGTGGTTGATAGGCGGTTGGCTGTGCACTTGGCACATATAGCCACAAGCGCGGGCTTTGATCACGTCTCTGGCTCGCCTCGGAAAATCAAGATTAAAGTTTGAAGTTCCGATTTACAACCGCTCAGTTACCGGA